ATAAGGCAACATGATCTGTCCCAAGAAGTGTTATTCTCATAGACCTGAAGACAACATGGCACTCTGGGAGTCAAAATTCTTTCTAAGAAAAAGAAATCTGCTAAAGACACTACGAGTGGAATCCCTGGAAAGACAGACATGTAAACTGGGACTCAAATAGCTATAAATTTAAAAATCAAAACTAAAGTTTAAGTTGATGCTTAATGAGTACAGACAAAGAGTTTCTCAAGGTCAAAGTGAAGAGTGAGCCCAAATCAACCTCAGCTCTAAACTGCAAAATTTATCTATTCGATAAAGTGCAGTTAAATCCAGCCATGAAGCATAGAATGCACATTGCTGCCTGAATAGAGTTTGGAAGCCATACTTTCTCCCTGTATTCTAGAAGGTTGATAGATTCATTGTGCTTTATGCTGACAATTTATTAGAGAAGACGAACAGAAGAGAAATAGCAAACCACCAAATCAGATATTTATAGAAAATGCCTTAGTCTCTTGTGGATATTCTCTGTATTTTTGCTCCAAGCTGCCTCAGAACACATGACAAAACATTCATTTAATTGTATTTTTGCATATTGTCTGTTTCTATTTTCAAGGAACAACATAATTTCTAATGATCTGTCACACTGGGTAAAGCAAAGTAATAGGATTAATTGGAATCTGAGGATAATCTTGGAGAATCAGATTAACAATCCATAAGAGTTCTTCTATTAAAGCTACTATATTATAAGCAACTATGCGGACCAATTTGAACTTCATATCCCTCCTTGTTATACTTTTATCAGAAGTGTTACCAAGTTCTGGAGGTGTTGGAGACTCTTTAGAGAAATTCTTTTTTAGGTTCTTCCTGTCCAGAATAAAAAATTGGCCAAGATAGGTGCAAAGGGTAGTGAGGTTTTACATTTATTAAACATGCTCTGAATGAAAAGAAAAATGCTCTGAAGAACTAGTGAGGGCCAATTAAAAGAAGAAAAGAGGTTCAGTCTACAGGATGAGAGGATATCACTGTGCGGCAGAGAACACAATGGCCAAGACGTAAATGGCCACGGCCTTTCATGTCCCAATTTCGCAGGGAGTCTGCTTGGCTTGCGTTCTCTGGAGAGGAGAAATTCAGCCTTTTATGATTAGTCCCAAGCTCAGGGCTTCTAGAACTGGTTTTCTGTGCATGTCCCAGCACACCCACTTGCTTGGGCTGTTTGCCACACTCTAAGGCTCAAAGTTGGTCCAAGAAGAGAGAAAGGAAGAAATACCGAAGGGGAAAAACGTAACAGTGAAGAAATGGCCACAGAAAACTAAGAGTGCAAACTTCCTATTTGTGTGTGGCTAAGGCACAGAAAGACAATTGGTCCAAACAAATAGAAGGTAAGGGAGGTATGTGCATGGAAAAGATAGGGAAGAGAAAATGGGATGATGTTCTAAAACCTGGGGATAAATTGGGTTAACACCGTGTTTGTCTACAATTTAATCTGAGCTACTCCTTGATGATTGTAAAGCAAATGTTTAAAAAAATCAAACAGGGTTTGGGGACATAACTCAGCAGCACAACACCTGCCTGGCAAGCATGAGGTCATGAGCTTGATCCCCCATACACAAAAACAAAAACAAAACAAACCAGTTTGCAGTCATCAAAGCCTGTTTACTCTCATTTCTGTGGTTATTTCAGATATTAACACAGCTATAGATTTTGCACTTTTGTTCAGCATCAATTTTGGTGAACATTTGTGAAGTATGTTCATGCTTTCTCATGTAATTATTTACCAAATATTCAAGATATGTGTACAATAGCCCTTCCTAATCCTCTTGAAACACACAAATAATTCTGGTCAATGAGTTGTGAGCAGAAGTGACTGAGTTGAAGCATTTAATGCCTGGTGTACTATACCCTAGTCTTTCTCTTGCTAGAGTGACCAAAAATATTGCTCCATGAGGCTGGATTCTAAAGTGAGAAAAACATGAACCAAAAATGCAGCTGACCTGAAATTGTGGTATGGTGAGAGGAATATATGGAAGTTTTTATTAACATACGGAAATTTTGGGTGGTATTCATAGGATTGTTATCATAGCATAACATCTGTCCTGAAGGATACAACCATATTTGCATCAGATGTGTAGTCCGATTCCTGATATCCTTTTTTCATATATGATGAAAGTCAAGAAAATAAAATACACTGGGCTTCAGAATAAAAAAATCCCTGATGTAACCGAATGATAGTTTCAATACAGAAATCAGGCAATACCTCAAATAGGACTCTCTTCAGTGACTGAGATTCAAACATCTGAGTCTTCACCACAGAAATGGATGTTTCATTAAGTAAAATCTGCACTTAAAAAAACAGAGATCTTCTTCTTTATGATAATTGGCAGTGTTATGGTAGTTTTATCCAATTTTTACAGCATAATAAAGATACGGAAATTGGGTAAAAATATCAAGGAGGCAGATGTTTAATTGTAATAACTGAATGAACAATTACACAGCAGCTCTTTGGCAGATGAAATACAGTGAAATGCATTTCTGCACTAATTATTTTCAGTAGCCAACTCTGAGTATAAAAATGTGCTAAGTGTTGAGAATCCAAACATGAGTAATGTGAACTCTCTGTCTTCATAAGCACTGACAATTGAATGACAGTGGATAAGAAATGGATAAGAAACAAACATGCTAAGTGCTCCCAGAGAGGAGTAGACCCTAAGCAATGACAGGCGTGGGTGCAGGGTCGTGTTAAAGGTCATGACAGTGCAGTGGTCACTCCGCCAGTACTATGTGCATCTTCTAATCAAGGACAGGTAGCTGCTGGATGAAAACACTGAGTATTAGAGAACACTTATCAGACAGAAGTGGCTGAAAGGTTAAGCATAAGACGAGTCTGGGGGCTTGGTAAGAAAAGTCAATACTGTGCTGAGGAAGCCAGCATTCTTGCCATCTAACCTTAAATCTAGGTTTTAACCAAACTACTCCACTACTTCCACACTCTGGCTCATCAATTTGTGGTTTGTATTTGGCAAGGATTTGCATGAGAAGTGAACCAACAGTACAAACAAAAGCAAACTCACACCCTATGTGAGAAAGTGTATACAAGCATAGATTTAAATCATACTACAAAAATAATCCCATGGAAACAATGGCAAGTATGTAATCAAAAACATGTTAGAGGCAGAATAAAAAAAGGAACTATGAGAACGAGGGAAATATCTGAAAAACACCTCAAAGGTTATTCATTTACACTGTTACACGCTATTCTTTGGCTATACAAAAACAAAAACTTTCCTGGCACGACCAGTGGTCTCTACACACTCTACAATGTGCTGGTCTGTTGGATCATAGAGACTGATTTCACACCTGGTTCATTGTTTGACCTTGGAAATACTTAGGAGAGTTAAAAGGAGATACCGATTGATGATTCTTCAATAAACTATTTCTTCAGTAATTTGAACTCTGAATTTCAAGGGTGCCAAAATACTTAAGAGGCTGGAGTTGAAGGTATGTCCTCCATGGATCATGCCAAAGGTGACAATTCCATTCCTATCTCTTGGATGGAAGCAAGATGTGCTTTTCTCAGAGTTTACACTAGAAAAAAAAAAAGCAGTTTTATTTTAACCAGATGTGAACAAATTAAACCCAATATTTCCAAGTATTTTAGTACCATATGATGTCATCTGATTTTATATTTTCTACTGAGAATTTATATTTTTAAAATTATGAAGCCACTTTCCATGTATGTACTTAAAATCTTATATATGATAAATTACAATAAACAAATGCCAACACGACAGAACATGCTCTTGGCTGTTAAGACAAAAGCCAGGAAAGAAATATAGTTTTCACTAAGTGACCCGAAAGCACTTTTGAAAGTCTTCTACTGGCATTTAAGGTAGTTCTCAGATCAGTGTCGATGGTACCAGCCTAAAGGGGTGCAGGCAAGGATGGCTAGGGCCATTCATAGCCCTGCAGTAGCCTCTTTGCTGTGGACTCCACGGGCACAGCGTACAGCAATCACGCTAGTTTAACCAAAGGACCCGAGTTTTTAAAGATGCCGGCTCTCCCTTTTCAGGACAACGTATTTCCAATGGCGAGCTCACGCATCCCCGCATCTGCTCCCCAGTAGTGCTGGGTTTGTCTGGGTTTGGCACCACTCTTCTCGGTCTGCCCCTGACTGACTTCTTCGCACCCTTCGCTGGGGCTGGCAGCGCACCCCGAAACAGGAGCGTGTCCTCAGGGGCGCTGCCAGGGAACGCCCCCGTCCCCTCTCCCGGGAAAGGCTTTTCTCCGAAACCATTCACAGTCTTCCAAAGGGCACCGGCGAGCCGTCCCGAGCCGTGTCAGCACACCCAGCTGCCAGGCCCCGGATTCGTCTCGGAAAGAGGCCGCGTTCCCGCGAGCGAGCGCCGGTCGGGCGAGGTGAGTCCCGCGGGGCGCGCGGTGACCACGTGCGTACAGACGCCCCGGCGCTTCGGCCCGGTCCCCACCCGCTCCAGCGGGGCACACTGCGGGCGGAGCCCTCTCCCCGGCCGCGGGAGGTCCGGGGGGCAAGCCCGGAGGAGGGAGCGGGGCGACCCCGGCCAGGCCGCGCCCCCCATGGCCTCCTCCCGCGTGCGCCGGCCCGGGGCGGGGCCGCGGTGCGGGGCTCGGCTCGGGGAGGCCGCGGGGCCGTGGGGAGGCCGGAGCGCGGAGCGGCCCCGTGGGCGAGGCGGGCGCAGCCGGCGGGAGCGCGGGGCGCGGCGGGCGCCGCGAGGGGAGGTGAGGCTGGAGGCGCAGGTCGGGGCGGGGGGGCGCGTGGGGCGGTCTCGGGCGGGACGCGGCGGGCGGGGCGGCGTCCTCTGGGTCCCCGCGACCCCCCGCTTCTCGGCGCCGCTCCCGGCCGCGCGCCCCGGGTTGGGCCCGGCCGCATTGTGACGTAGCGGGGCCGCCGCGCCTGCTCCCGCGCCGCCGTCCGTCTGTCCGGCGTGAGTGCGGGCCCCGGGCGGGCGCCGTGGGAGGGGAAGCCCCAGAGCGCCCGACCCCTCCGGCCCGGCGCTTTGTGCGCCGCCCGGGCCCCGGCGCGGTGTGGGGGTCTCCATGGCAACGGCAGCGCGCTCCCTCGGGCCGGGCCGGGACGGGACCGGGTCAGGATCGGGATCGGAACGGGGCCTGGGCCGGGGTCGAGACCCAGCCGGACCGGGCGGCCCCTCCCTCCCGCTAGTCCTCGCCGCCTGCCGGGCGGGCGCAGAGGCTGCGCTGCGCTCTCCGGGCGGTGGGCGTCGCGGGCCGGGACTGCACGCGGCGGGGAACCGGGCAGCGCCGTCCACCGGCGAGCGGCGGCGCGGGCCGGTCTGCAGGTGGTAAGTGGCAACTCTGTTTTGGCCGTTGTCAGATGCCAGGTTCCGCTTAGATCGTTTTTACAAAAGAAGAGAGGGAACGTTGGGAGCCGCGTCTGGCAGCCGCGCAGTTTCCACAGGAAATACTAGCATTCCTGCAGGAACGCGCTGCCGCTCGCGGGGAAGAAAGTCTCCAGGAAACAAAAAGGCAGCAGCATTGTTGTTCGCTTTCAATGGGCCGCGAGGAGGGTGGGGACGCGCTGGTTTTTTCCTGTGAGAACGTTGCTTTCCTGGGGGAAGTCAGTTAAGGGACCCTGGCAGTCTTAGCGGAGCCGCGATCCCACTCCGAGTGACCCACGCGCGACCATCGGGCGGCCGAAGTGGGACAGCCGCGCGGGGCCAACCGGGGCACAGCCTCCGAATGAAACGAGGGCCGTCTGGGGAGGCTCTTGAACATTACATGTGTGCAGAGTATGTCATTCCTCCGGGGTGTCACTTTAAACACGTAATTTTCAGGCACCACTTTTTGCAGTAGGCAAAAATCCATTTTTCTTGTTAGGGACCAGACATCCCAGTTGGGAATAGGTTGAAACCTGCTTTTCATTTGTACATACTGAAATTTTTAAAAGCAAAGAGAACAAGGTGTAGGAAAGCAATGTGCTAAGGTATATACACCTGGGAGAGGATGTCTACTAGTTATTTCTGATGCATCTCAGGGTTAATTTATGAAGTCAGCATGATAGAGTGCAGGGAGACACCTTCATAGTGTTCTTAAAACTATTAAAAAAGATGTTCCAGGGAGAATTAACCAAGAATTGCCCATAGTCAAATATATATGAATTTCAAGGTCTAGAATCAGAAAAATAAATTCTCTTAAGGGGCTTTGAACATTTCAGAGATAAATTATACATTTTTAAAAGAAAATATAGTTTTGAATGTAACCTTCATTGTCTCAGTAGCAAGCATTCCTTGAAGTTTATGAAATAGTAAATTTGACATGATGCTACCTGTGTTTATCTGACATTTACTGTTTATTGCAGTCTGAAAGGAAGTGACTAAAGCAAGTGAAATTCCCAGTCTGTCATGTCACAGCTTTGCTAATTCCAAGCTGTTATTTGGGTGCAGGTGTACAGTGGAAGCGCAGAATAGAGGCCAAGAAACTCTGTGTGCTGTTTATTTGGAAGGAATTGTGGCCATATTTTATTGCTCTTAAGAAAAAGGAAGCTCATATTATGCGAGAAACCCTAGAACCATTTTTATTGCCATATGTAAGGCATTTCTTGTCAAAAGAGGAAATCTCCCAAGGAGCAGGTGCATCATTATTAAAAAAAACATAAGGGAATTTCTCTTACATGCAGAATCTAATTGAAGAGCAACAAGAGAATCAGTGACATTCTTAGAATAAAAGCCTAGTATTTGGCAGTCGTTCAAGTTACAGTTGCAAACCACATAGGACAAATATGTGTGATCGGAGAAAAATAATATTCTCATAAAAATCGATAGTTGCTTCTCTGAAGCACTTACCCTTGTGTATTTGTTTCCTTTCCCTTTTGGCATGGAATTTTACCTATAGGATGAGATTTGCTGAAAATGAACTTGCAGATTGTTCACTTAAATATATATTATGCAGCTAGATACATAAATTTTATATGTTGTGGTTTGCATTGTGGCACTTTTTCTAAACTTTAAAAATTAGTGATCTAACTTTGTGATGAAATGATTTTTTTTAGTTGATATGGCTGACGGTTGTGACCTAGACTAGTATTAGTTGACTTCTAAAGCATTATACATTGTATTTGCTTTGTGTCCATATTTGACATATAAAATTCACTATCTCCACAGAAGGAACTTAAAAGAAGGGAAATAGGGCACATAAAAAATAGGATCTAAAACATGGAAGATATGTATAATTGAATGTCCAAACACTAAATAGTAATTGAAAAAGAACTTGGAGGAGAAAGTTTCTACATTTGCTTAGGGTTTTTATCAGTTATGCATTGGTCAGTTATCAAATTATGTAGAAATTTAGCTTTTAAAAAAAAGCTGTCATGGCTTGTGATTCTTTTGATCATCATTTTGGTGTGATCTCAGCAAGGTGGCTTTTCTAATCCTGGCACAGGTGACTAGTACCTGCATCTCCTATTCTCCAGCAGAGTGTCTGTGATTTTTACATGGCAGCCAGTAGTGTCCAAAGAGCTGCGAAGAAACTGCTGTCATTGTGCGAGCAGCTTTCCAATCTCTGCGTGGATCGCATTAGCTGTTCTCTGTAGACAACATTGCATAAGGTCACCCTATCTTCTAGGGGCAGAGAAAGACTACTGAAGATGAGAGGAAGCTGCAAAAGCTTACTCTTTCTTTCTTTCTTTCTTTCTTTCTTTGTAACCTGTACTTTTTAGGGTACGTATTTTTTTTTATTGGTACTGAGGATCGAACTCACAGCTGCCTGCTTGCAAGGCAGGTGCTTATGCCACTGAGCTAAATCCCCACCCCCTGTAATCTGTACTTTTTATAAACTTGTTTAAACAAGTTTTCTGCTGGGGAACAGTGTAAGTGAGACCGAGGCAGAGCTTGCCTGTGAAGAGTCTAGAATTTATTCAAAGGAACTACCTGGTAAATTGCCTGTAACCTTTGTTTTGTAAACAGCATGTAGAACAGTAATGACACCATGATAATAAATTTTTAGCAAAGTCCTTCTGACAGTGATGTTACAACACAGATACTTGGTCTGTAGCACAACCCACAGGACAGGGAAAATGGGTAGCAAAGAGTCTGCTTGGAGACCTCATATTTACGATTAGGTGACTGATTACAGGGCTAGTGAAAGCCCAGAGTCAAAAATCATTCTGAGATTTAAAAAAAAAATTAAGTGACTGAAAGAATGATTTCACTGCTCTAAGAAACAGAGAAATCAATAAGTGATTTATTTGGGGGGAGAAGGGTAACCCAGTTCTGAAAGATTGATTAAAAGAGATAAATTGAAGGGTAAAGGTACTTTATAAGCTGCCGAGTATGCTGGACTGTTACTGTGGAGTGTTTAAGTTGTAGAGATAGGACTGTGGTGTTTAGTTATTTTTCTTTAGCTGTAGAGCAACAGAGTACAAACCAACACTGAGGATCCTGACATGTCAAAGGGAAGTCAGAAAACCATTTTTAGGGTGCAGAACTGTTCTGGGGTTGAGAAGAGAATTGCTCTTGCTTAGAGGCGTACCTGGAGGTCTGCCTTGGTGTGCTGTGCCCTGGACCCCACTTGCCAGATAAGGGAATTCCTTTGGCTGAGTGACATGCACATCGTTGGGTCAGAAGCATGGGTTGGTAGCCCTGCCACGGTGGCACAGTTGAGGAGTTACTAAGTGCTTCCTCTGACACTGGAGCACTGCAGTCAGGAAAGATATTGCAGCTGGGCATAGTGACTTGTGCCTATAATCCCAGCCCTCTAGAAGGCTGAAGCAGGAAGATGACAAGTTTAAGTTTAGCCTGGCCAAATTACATACAGTCTAAAACTAAAATACAAAAGTGCTTGGCGATGCAGCTCAGTGTGAAGGCACTGGGTTCAATCCTCAGTTATCTCCTCTGCAAAGACACTGGGGCGCTGCTAAATCTGCTGAAGAAGTGGGGACCCAGGATGGCAACAGTAAAAGAATACAGACACTCGAAATTAGGGCTTAGCCACCTGGAAACAGGAGAGGAAGCACCAACTTAGGATATTTACAGTGGGGTGTAGTTTCATTAGTAACAGTTAAACTCCTGCAAGTGGTGGGATTTTTCTCTGGCAAAGCAGAGCTCTGGCCCATTGTGACCCATTATCCAGATGACTCCATAAATGTTAGTGGACATTTTACTAGTGGGGAGAGGAATTCTAAACATGTTCTGTGCTGACCTTTACCTGAGGGCTGATCTGAGCTGCTGCGTCACCAGCCTGGTTTCATAGACAGCCAGGCTGAGATGCAGGTGTTGTCTTCACCACTACGTGTAGCTGTAGGGCCAAAGAGCAGCACCTGGCCCCTCCAAGCGCACAAATTATCCCAAACAGCAGGCACAGCTGCTCTTTAGAGAAGGGCTTGGTGGACCAACTCAAACCCAAGTACACACTTCTATAGATTTTATTGGGCAAGCCAGAGAACCCTGAGATAATAAATAAATGTTAATTTAATGAGTGAATGTGCTATTATCTAGTATAGTAACATTTTCTAACACAGTCTCATCTGCTTTTCATTATTGAGGTTGAGTTTGCTATAATATCTTTTAAGTGCCTTTTGTAGATTTAAATGTTTTGAGGCACTCTGTCACAGTATGTAGACTTTTTAAAATCTACCACTTACATTTTTAAAAAACTGATTTTTAGTTTTTGAAACACAGTTGTCCTGATTCCTTCCTTTTTCAGGATTCTTGGTTGACAGTGATAGAAATCCAGTTTGTACTCAAGCAGGAAGGGGCAGACACTGTTTCCTATAAGGAAGCATTCAGGGGAAACCAATCTCAATTTTCCTGGGAGTTGGCACTGGCAGTTCAGGCTCAGCCCCTGCAGAACTGGGGGAAAATTTAGGATTAACTGTGATCCTCTGCACAGGCCTGATCCAGTTCCCACGACCAGAATTTGGAGCACGCCACTTGGCTACTTGTTGATTGTGTGCCCAGTCCTGGGCTCTCTTGGGAAGGGTAGGTGGGTGCATAAGGAGCATGGCAAGGTGCCAGTGGAAGTGTGGGAACGCAGGAGCCAAAGGGAGGGGGTCAGCGGGGCACCCCTGAACCTCATTACCTGACAGCAGGAAAGAGATGGGTTCTAAAGTGCTGGAAAGAAGAGTGGATGTGATACAGGCAGAAATAGCAAGTGTCTCAGATTCCATTTACTGGGTTTTCCCTTAAAGACAAATCCTTTTTCTACATCTCCGAGCCAGAAACTTGGCAGTGATCTGAACCTGATCACCTCCTCTTTTTCCTCCACCTAATCAATCACCATGGCCTCTTGCTCACCTTACTTTTTCTTCTTTTATTTCAGTCTAGGCCAGTGATGGCAAAACTATGGTTACCGTGTTTTTCTTTGAAGATAAAGGATGTTACTGCACGTCTTGTTTTTTCTAAACTAAAACCTCAGGTTTCAGATTTGATTGTGGTGTTGGCACTTTGGGATAAATAAGTGGGTTTTGGGTTGTAGTTGGGCACTTGGTCTCTAAGAAGTTCACCGTTAACTGGCTTAGACCCTCCGTGTTTGCATAAATCACCCCTAAAAAATGTTGCCTCCTGTCTCTCCGATTCCAGCCTATCTTCACCACTTCCAGGGAGCTCTTGGTTAGAGACAATCAGATCACACAACTGTCTGCTAAGAATCATTTGAAACCTTATCGTGGCCTTGGAGGGAAATCCAAGCTACTGACCATTAATCCCAAGGTTCTCATGATAGGCCTTGCCTTTTTCTAAGGATGCAGGAGGTGGGTAAGAAGGGTATGTTCATCAGATGTTGCATTTGCTGCCCAAGCATCCTTATACTGGCTGACCTCACAACTTTAAAGTACTGGAGCTCGGTTTTCTTCCATCTTCATACTTTTGCATTTGTTGCTGTGTTAGTGAGATAGTTTGTTTTTCTTTGACACATTGAGTATCTATTTTCCTCTCAGACTCAAAAGAAGGACCCTTTGTTGATCAATTTCCGCTACATGGCCTTTGATATCACATTTCTCTCTCCCTCTCTAGACAAACAGCCAAAGAATAGAGTCATACTTTCTATCTTGCATATCCTTATGCTTTAAAGTACTTCTTATACTATATATGCTCAATCAAGTTTAAATGAATGAATAAAAAACGTGTTTAATTATTCATTTTGAACTTTTCCAGGTGATTTCAGGTTTATTGTGTCTCCTTTAACTTCAGTCTCTTATTTGCATCTCAGAATACTGGACATAAACAGATTGTTTTTGAAAGAATCTTTTTGAATTGTCACCCAGACACATTTTCAAAAACTTGCCCAATTGTTTTTATGATATTTAAAATATGGTTAGTAGTAACTGCCTCAAGAATGAGACTGAAAAACATCAGTGGGACAAATTAATCCCCTAGACTGAAATCTTTGATGAAGAACCACTTTTCTTTGTATCATCAAAAGGGATGTTGATTACTAATGTTAATTAATAGATATTAATATTAATACTGTTCATATTAGCATGTTAATGTTAATTAACAGATGCTGTTAATATTAATGAGGTGCTGTGTTGGATGCCTACCAGATACTTTACAGTTACTTTCTTATTTAACTCTTCACGACAACCCTTGCTATCCATCATCTTTTTTGAACCTCTGAGGAGACACAGGGTTAGAGAGTTGAGGTAGCTTGCTTGACACTGCATCCCCTTGCCCTGGTGACTGCCAGCCTGCCAGTCACTCATCTGGGGTGCTGTGGAGTTGAATCAAAACTTTTCAAGTCCATGTTGGATGGCTTTATTGTTGATATCTAAGGTGAACTGACCACTTCTTAAGGGTAGAACACTCTAATGGCCTCCCTTGAGCATTGATTATATCAAAAAAGATGATGATGAAAAAGAGGTAAAAATGGAAGGATTCCAATACTCCAGCTGAAATTAAGATGCATTTCTGCCTTAGGAATTCCAGTCCTATTGATCTTGCTGCTGCTGGGTAATAAAAGCTGCTTCCAGGAAGTTTTATTGCTGGGTATGAAATGCAGGCTCTTAAGCAGATTAGAAACAGTTGGTTTTGAGAGTCATTCATTTACTCCATAAATATATACAGTGGATGCCGAGTAACTTGGAAGCCACAGAAGCAAATTCTTAACCTGAATTTTCACTCTGAGAGTCTTGAGGGTCTCATGAAAGATATGGGTTCTTTCTTTTTTAATTTAAAAAATTTTTATTTTAAAGAGATTAAAACAAAAGAGGCTATAACAAAGCAGATCAGATCAGAACAAGACAAGTAACACAGCATTTTACCACAAGACAATCCATAATTAACAGTAACTACCATAATGTCTGTTTCTTTGAAATAGTTCAGCATAGCTTCATATATGATAGTATCAAGCATAAAAAAACAATATAAAACCATTCGAGAGAATGAAAGCATTATAGGGCTTTCAGAACCAAATAGCAGAGAACGAACAATGGCTACTATATTATCTCATTTTCCATAGAAAATTTGTTTATACTATCACACATAATAATATCCAATAAGATAAAACAGAATAGAACTAAAGGCAACAGAAAAACAAAAGCAGAGTAGGACTTCAGAGTAAGATGATACTAAATCAGCGCTGGCTATTCTAATATCTTCTTTAAAGAAGCTGTTTATACTATCACAGATAATAAAATCAAACAAACTAGGATAAAAGCATTCCAACTAATGAATGCAGACATTGTAAGGCTTCAGACCAATATAATGGGGAATCATTACTATAAACTCTTACGTACTCTTACCATTTTTTACTCTAGGGAGACTATTCGGTATTTACGCATGTGAGTTTGATTTATTTTGCTAATGAGTATGGTCTCAAATTGTGTCCATTTATTTATAAATATCCCAATGTGAACATTTTTTATAGCTGAGTAGTACTCCATTGTATAAAAATACCACAACTTTTTTATCCATTCCTCAGTTGATGGGCACTTAGGTTGTTTCCAAGATCTGGCTATTACACATTGTGCTGCTATTAACATGGATACACATATATCACTGTGGTATGATGTTTTCAGTTCTTCTGGGAATATACCTAAAAGTGGAATGAATGGCTGGAACAAATGGGACTTCCAATCCCAACTTTTTGCGTAATCTCCAGACTGACCTCTACAATGGCTGCACCAGTCTACTCTCCCACAAACAATGCAGGAGAGTTCCCTTTCCCCACAGCCTCTCCAGCACTTGTTGTTGTTGGCTTTCTTGAGCCTGGCCATTCTTTCAGGAGTGACATGGAATCTCAGTGTGGTTTCCATTTGCATTTCTCTGACTAATGACGATGAACATTTTTTTCATGTATTTATTTGCCATTTGTATTTCTTCATCTGAGAAGTGTGTATTCATCTCAGATGCCCATTTTTGGATTGGGTCTTTGAATTTCGGGGGTCTGATTTTTTTAATTCTTTATATGTTTTGGACAGAAGTCCTTTGTCTGAGGGACAGTTCACTAAGATTTTTTCCCAGTTTGTGGGTTTTCTTTTCACTGTGCTGGAGATTTCTTTTGACATGCAGAAACTTTTTTTTTTTGTCTTTTCTTTTTTTATTGGTAGCAGGGATCAAACTCACGACTGCCTGCTCGCAAGGCAGGTGCTTATGCCGCTGAGCTAAATCCCCAGACATGCAGAAACTTTTTAATAAGACGTGATCCCAGCTATTGATTCAGGGAAGTATTTCCCATGTGGTTTGATTCCTGTTCATGAACGCTATACCTACTCCTATGTCTTCAAGATTTTTACCTAATTTATCTTCCATCAGATTTAGTGTTTCTGTTTTAATATTCAGATCTTTGATCCATTTAGATTTTAGTTTAGTACATGGTGATAGGCATGGGTCTAGTTTTAGTTTTCGGCAGATGGAGAGCCAGTTTTTCCAGCACCATTTATTAAAGAGACTGTCATTTTTCCAGTGAACATTTTGGGCCCTTTATCAAAGATAAGGTGGTTGGGTGTGTTTGTAGTTGTGGTTGTATCTTCTAATCTATTCCATTGATCTTCGGCTCTGTTTTGATTCCAGTACCATGTTGATTTTTTTACACTTGCTTTGTAGTATAACTTCAAGTCAGGGATTGTGATGCCTCCTGCCTTGCCTTTCCTGCTTAGAATTGCTTTTGCTATTCTAGGTCTCTTCTGGTTCTAGATGAATTTTAGGATTGATTTCTCTAGATCTATGAGGTATGTTAATGGTATTTTCTTTGGGATTGTATTGAATCTATATAACAGTTTTGTGAGAATGGCCATTTTATGGTATTTATTCTTCCTATCCATCAGCAAGGGAAATCTTTCCATTTTCTGAGATCCTTTTCAATTTCTTTTTTCAGGGTATTATAATTTTCCCTGTGTAGATCTTTTACTATGTTTGTGAGATTAATTCCTAAGTATTTCATTTTTTTGGATGTTAATGTGAAAGGTGTGGCTTCTTTTATTTCTTTCTCAGTGATTTTATTGTTAGTATATAGAAATGCTATTGACTTTTGAACATTGATTTTGTATCCAACTAAATTGCTGCATTTATTTATTATATCTAGGAGTCTTTTAATGGAGTTCTGAGAGTCTTCTATGTAGAGTATCGTGTCATTTGCAAACTTAACTTCCTCTTTTCCTATGTTTACCGCTTGTATTTCTCTCTCTTGTCTTATTGCTCTGGCTAGTATTTCCAGTACTATATTGAATAGGAGTGGTGATAAGGGACATCCTTGTCTTGTGCCTGATTTTAAGGTAAAGGCCTTCAGTTTTTGGCCATTTAATATGATGCTGGCTGTAGGTTTGTCATAGATGGCCTTTATCATATTGAGGTAAAGACCATCTATTCCAATTTTCTGTAAGGTTCTTATCATAAATGAGTGTTGGACCTTATAAAAAGCTTCTTCTGCATCTATGGAGATGATCATGTGATTCTTACTTTGGCTTTATTGATATGGCGTATTACATTTATTGATATTTATTTACGTATGTTGAACCATCCCCGCATGCCTGGGATGAATCCCACTTGGTCGTGGTATATAATCTTCTTGATGATTTGCTGCATCCTGTTTGTCAGTATTTTATTGAGGATTTTTGCATCTGTGTTCATTAGGGACATTGGCCTGTAGTTCTCTTTTTTAGCTGGGTCTTTCTCAGGTTTTGGTACTAGAGTAACATTTGCTTCCAGGAATGACTTAGGAAGGATTACTTCCCTTTTGATTTCATTGAAGAGTTTGAGGAGTGTTGGCATTCTTTGTATTTCTTGTAAAATTCCGCAGTGAATCCATCTGGGCCTGGGCTCTTCTTTGTAGGTAAGGACTTAATTACATTTTCAATTTCATTAATAGAAATTGGGTTATTCAGCAGTTTTATATCTTCTTGACCCATCTTTGGTACTTAATGTGTTTCTAGGAATCTGTCCATTTCTTCTGTTTTAAAAAAACCTATGGGAGTAGAGGTTTTTGAAATAGGTGTTGATGATGTTCTGTATTCCACAGAGTCTGGAGTGATTTCACCTTTTTTGTTCCTTATTGCATGAATTTGAGCTGTTTCTTTCCTCTTCTTAATAAGGTTGGCTAGGGCCTTATCAGTTTTATTTATTCTTTCAAAGGGCCAACTCTTTGATTCATTGATTTTTGAATTATTTTCTTAGTCTCTATTGTATTAATTTCTGCTCTGATTTTTATAATTTCCTCCCTTCTTTTGGCTTTGGGCTTGACTTACTCTTCTTTTTCTAGATGTTTGAGGTGCAGCAACAGGTTGTTCATTTGTCTTCATTCTGTTTTCCTGATGTGGGAACTCAGTGCAAAAATGTTCCTCTGAGGACAGCTTTCATTGCATCCCACAGATTCCAGTAAGTTGTATTTGTATTTTCGTTTGCTTGTAGGTATTGTTTAATTTCTTCTTTAATTTCTCCTGTGACCCATTGTTGCTCAAGAGTGTATTATTCAATCTCCATGTGTTTTGGGGGTTTTTGCAGTTTCTTTTATCATTAATATCCAGTTTCATGGTGTTATGATCTGATAACATGCATGGGATAATTTCAATCTTTTGCATTGATTTAAATATGTTCTGTGAGCTAGTATAGGGTCTATTTTAGAGAATGTCCCATGTGCTGCTGAGAAGAATGTATATTCTGATGTTGTTGGATGGAACACTCTATATCTGTCTACCAGGTCCATTTGTTCACATGTGTAATTCAGTTCTGTTATTTCTTTGCTGATTTTCTGTCTGGTTGATCTGTCTCTTGGTGTCAATGGTCTGTTAAGGTCTCCCTTTACAATTGTGTTATTGCTAATTTGAGTTTTCATTTCTGTTAATACTTGCTTTGTATACCTGTGTGCTCTGGAATTTGTTGCATATATATTTAAGATTGTTATCTCTTCCTCTTTAAGTTTTCCCCTAACCAGTATGTAGTGACCTTCTTTATATCTTAGGATCATTCTTGGTTTGAAGTTCACATTATCTTTAAACAAAATAGCTACCCCGCTTTTTTTTTCCATTTCCTGTTGCATAATTTACTTTCAGTCTGTGAGTTTCGTTTTGGGTTTGATGGGTTTCTTGCAGACAGCATATAGTTGGATGTTGTTTCTTGATCCATTCTGCCAGTCTGTTTCTTTTAATTGGTGAATTGAGATCATTTACATTGATGGTTATAACTGTTATATATTGGCTTATTGTTAACATATTATCTTTTTGTTGTTGCATCTTTATCTTTCCAATCTGTTTAGTTATCTACCTTGCTGAGTGGTTTTTTTCCTATGTGTATCTAGACTGTCTTTCAGTATTCTTTGCAGGGTTGGCTTGGTGATCATGAAATTCTTCAGCTGCTCTTTGTCATGGAAGTATCTTATTTCTCCATCGATTTTGAAGGACAGTTTTTCAGGGTACATCAGTGTAGGTTGGAAATCATTCTCCTTTAGGATCTGAAATACTTCACTCCATGCTCTGCTTGACTTCATTGTTTGTGTTGAGAAGTCTGTTGTAATTCTGATATACTTTCCTTTATAGGTAATCTGTCTTTTCTCTCTGACAGCTTTTAGTATTCTATTCTTATGTTGGATTTCTGGGATGGTGATTATTATATGCCTGGGTGTAGTTTTATTTTGGTTATGGCTATTTGGAATTCTATATGCTTCACTAATCTGAATGTCAGTTTCCATTCTCATGTTTGGGAAATTTTCAGCTATGACTTCTGTGAATAGCCTTTTGATATCATTTGTTTTGTTCCCTTCTTTTTCATTTATCTCTATTAATCTTATGTTATTTTTCTTTGCATCATGTTGTAGCTGTTGAATTGTTATTTCCTGATTCTTTGTTTTTTTTAAAAACATCTTTCCTTTCCTGTTCACTAGCTGCAATCTTGTCTTGAAGGTCTGAAATTCTATGTTCACTTTCCTTGAGTCGGTTTTGACAACTTCCGTTGGAATTTTTGCTTTCCTGTTTATCTCTTTGAATCTGCTTCATGTATTCTGTTTGTTTCTTAAATAGTTCATCCAGGGATTCTATCTTTTTGTTTTGTTCCTCTAATTTTTTAACTGTGTTTTCTTTAGATATATTCAGCATCTCTTTCATTTCTTTTATCGTGTCTTCTTTTACCTGGGAGATTATTTCTAGTTTGAATTCCTTTAAAGCTTCCTGGAGTTGCTTCTTTATTTCAGTTGGTATTATTAAAGGTATTTCAGGTGTATGCCATATGTTTTCTTCTATGCACATGGCTCCTAGGCTTTCTGGGGATGCGCTGGAGGTTTGAGATTGCATTTTGTTCTTTTGTTTTATCATTTTCCTATATTTCTGTGTTTCACGTGTTTTTCTAAGGCTTCCCCTGGATGTGTTGGAAATCATCTCCTATGCACTAGTCTCCTGGGACTGAATGGAGGTTGCTGAGCGTGGTCCAGTCAGTCCCTCAGGCCCTCCCATGCTACCTTCAGTGTTCCAGGTAGCTGAGCAGGCACCTACGCACTGTGGATGATGAGCTGAAGCTCTCCCTGGGCAAAGACCAATGCCCTGGAACTCACTTCACCTGTTCTCAACTCCCATAATTGAAGAAGGTCGCTGGGGGTAATCTACTCAGGCTGCAAAACCTCCCAAGGCGAGTCTAGTGTGGCTGGGCTCTGGATTGGGAGCGGCCTCACACCAGCCACCAGATGGGTTCTTTTTTGAAGAAGAAGGATGTATATATACATACACAAACCCCTACATCTTTTAATTTTTAATTTCAGGGGTTTTAAGGATCTTTTGAATCCCATCTTTGGATTTCCTTGGACTCCATGGAGTCCAGGTTAAAAGCCCTATGTGAAAGCTATAATTTAGAAGAAAGATAATAGCCACTGTTCTAGTTTACCATGTATCATGCATAACAATTATTTTCTATTTGTCAGCCTTTTTTGAAAAGTATGTTGTAGCTAACCAGTCCTAAAAGATGTACCACAACCCTATTTTAAGCTATAGAGAACATTAAGAGAAAGAACTTGGACTCTTCCCGCTGGCAAATGACAAAAATGCAATTAAATGCAGAATCCACACCTGTATAACCATCACATTTCACACTACTTTCTTATTTACCCATCCCACCCTGTGAGGTATCAGACCTGCACCGTGGAACTTTGGAGCCTGTGATCTTCAGCCTTCTGTGCTGGGCCTTCAGCCTTCAGCATTCCTGTCAGAAGTCAAAAGTGAACTGTTTACCACCTCAGAAACCTTCTGCAGTGTGTTCAGAGCAGGGGCAGTCAACACTGGGGCAAAGAAAGTCACAGCTCACTCCCTTCACCTGTGGAAACTTTCACTGGCAAAACAAATGATACCAGACATTAACACCAGTTGTTGATCACCTCCAGGAAGGGCTGCAGTAGGCGGCATTGCTGGGTATTGTTTTCACACTTGAACATTTTAACTCAGTGGATACTTAACGAAACAGTGACTGCAAATCCTCTGTGTGCCTCCTTTCATGGGTACTTATTGAGGCCAGTTGTTTGCTGAGGCACTCAGTGAATGCTTGTGGTACCTACATCTAGGTTATTTCTTATCAGGAACGAAGCTCATTGTAAGTAAAGTGTGGTAAATTTTGTGAAAAAGAAAGTAAAAAGAATTTTGCTCAGATGTCAGTGTTTTGTAGCTGCAGCATTCTAGTCACAAACCACTGCCTGCTTCTTAAGGTGATTCATCCTCCAGGATGTTTAGAGAGCTTCTGGCTTCTGGAGACTTAACCTCTGCCTTCCCCTGCAAAAGTGAGAGTGACCAGATGCTTAACCAAAGATGGGATAAGACAGGGTACCTGGTTGTCTGGTCCCCAGTAGAGCACTGTGCACTGTAAGCCACAAGGTGTTTCTAATTTACTTGAGAGGTTACTGTCACGGTCTTTATGTTTTGTAAATGTGTCTGGCAGAGAACAAATAGGCCACCATCTCTGTCTCCTCCTCTCAGCCCCTCATGGGTTTCCCTGCTGTTCTCTTCCTCACTCCACAGACAGCTCCCATTCCAGCCCACTTGCCCTGAGGCTGCCTTCATGGTACCTTCCCTGGAATTTCTCCCCAACTGTTGTCTTGTGACTGTTTAGGCCCAGCACAGACAGAAATGTAGTAGACTCTGTGAATGTAAACCACATAAGTAATTTTACATTTTCTGGTAAGCAGAAAAGAAAACAGGTGACATTAATTTTAATATGTTTTCCCTAACTCAATTTTGGTAAAATATTAGCATTTCCACATGCAGTCAATATATAAAATTATTAATCAGATAATTTACATTTTTTATCATAGCAAGTCTTTGAAATTTTGTTTTTCATATTTAAGTCAGAGTAGTCACATTTCCAATGTCCAGTGGCCTCTTGTGACCATTGGATTCTTAGGGGACTGCAGAATTGGACTCTTGGGTTCCTAGGCTGACTCAGATACCACCTCCTTGTCTTCTTCAACAGTTAGCTGTGCGGGGCTTGAGAGTAGTGAATGCGTCTTTGTCAGCTTTCTGTCTTTGGTGTCCAGAGCAGTATTTAGTAGGCCCTTGGTTGGCACTGAGTGGTGAATGCATTCATGATGAAAGAGGATGATGGTAACTATAGGAATTGAAGGGATTGGTATGCCAGGCTCACCTCTCCAGCCTCTGCTTGCTGCTCCCCCAACCTGAGCCTCCTGTTTCAAATTCTGCTATATCCAGAGCCACAGAATATCATTTGGGGCAGACTAAATGGACAGGCAGTAATCACAGACCTAGGCCACTATCCTTGAATTAACTGCACATCTTGTTTAATACTCAGCTTCATCTTTTTAATATCAAGTACTAAAGGAACTTGTAAGCAGTCTAGAATTTTAAATAATAAAACTCTTATTTAAAAGGATGAGGAAACAGGACACATCAAACACAAAACTCATCCACTGAACAAGCCCTCCTAATGGGATTGCAAAATGGCCCTGACATTTACAACACTAACTATACAAAGCGAGAATGGCTACATCAGGGAGCTGTTGGTGTCAGCACAGTGAGTGTCCTCTGGGTTTCTGGTCATCACTCCTGCCCTGAGGGAAAAGGAGATTTATATCTCTAGTAAATTTATACATAGTATTTAAATTTTGCAAATGCTTCTGAACAACTAACAGTCATGTTTTTGATTGCTTTACCCTCAGTGACAAATGTCACTTAAAATAATGCATACAACCAAGTCTAAAAGTTGGTACTCCCATAAAACACTACTAACCACATAGTCATATAAATCTAAAGCTTGAAAGTGAGAGAAGATGTTAGCATTTGACCTGTTAATTCATACAAGCAGTTTAAAGGGGAAAAAGAGTATGATTAGCTCAGGCTCATTTGAAAAAGGCATAGAAACAGAAGATAGAATTGGGCCTAAACTCAGTTTTACCATTGATTACCAGTTTTAATCTGGAAAGCTCATTGACCCGCTCAGGTTTTTGTTTCTGAGTGCATTACGGAAAAGTAAATCCTACTGTCACATGCTGTCTATTAGAAGGATGAATGAAGTTAGAAAATGTTTTGAACAGTTCCTTAAACTATCTGGAACAAGTTTGAGGATAAGGGAGCTTGCCAGTGTTTTTGCAAAGTAAATTCTTAAAAGCTAGAAAAATTTTAGCATGTATTATATAGTAGATAACTGAACATTAGCCATGTTAAGTGATTTGATGATTTTTTTTAAGGCAAAGATGGTTCAAGATAGTCAAAACTTTACATCTGTTGGCTTCAATTTTAGGAATGCTGTCATTTGGACATAGAAAGGAGCTCACTTCTCTGCAAATAAAATACCCTTCAAATGGCTCTGGTGTGCTGTGTTAGTGTAATTGAAAACCTATAAAAAGGCTGAGAGCTACTTTTGAATTGGCTCAGTGAACTTGGACTGGATTTGTCAAAGTGATGAAAGGTTTAAAGGAATTTTCATAAATGAGGTCTCCAAGTGTGTTTTAGCCATAGAATTCCAATGAACTCCAAGGCACATGAACTAGAGAATAGCATGTCTGAGAACAACAGTCATATCTTGATGGAAATAAATGATTCAGTTTTATTCCCTGAATTCTGCAGATGTAAGCACACTTAGCTGCTGATAATCATAATTAAGTAGTACTGTTGTGCACTAAAAATACAGTTGAAAAGTCTAACCTTTAATTATGTTGAGTACTCACAGATTAACGTTGTCGCAAATCTCAGGCATTGGAAGCAGTACACTGTTTAGTCTTGTTGCTAGGAAATACAGCAGAGCTCTTCAGAAGTTACAGTTTGATTTGGTGAGAAGAGGGAGGTAAGCTTCTCGCCATGAATGACTTGATCACTGCTTTTCTTTCATACTATATGTGAGTGTATTTTATGCAGCAGAAATCCTTGTTTACAAAGCTTTATTTGCAGCAGAGGTACCAGTGTGTGTACCTCCATAAACATCCAGAGAATATCTGGAAGAATGATTTTACCTAAAGCTCCTGCATGAGATGCACATCAGGAAGTATTTGGGGTTTTGGTGAAATGAATTCTTTTATCTTTAAATCTAGACAGTAGCCCTTTGAAATTAATTATTGTGAATCTAATTGTGGTTTTGTATTCTTACTCTTAGTGGGAAACTGTCAAATTAATATAGATATTTGATCCAGGTTGACAGGTTTCTATAATCATTAAAACATGCATGTAGGAAACCAACTCTGCTCATTTTGCTGTGCTGTGCTGTGCTGTGCTGTGCTTTCTTTCTGCTCCCTTTTGGCAAACTTGCCTATTTGTTGCATTGTTCATTAGCTTTAAAAAATGCAAAGCTTGTCACTTGCACAACTTGAGAGGGAAGAGCTATGCCAGATCATTTGCCTTGTCCTTGAGAAAACTGAAGGATTTCCGTGTGTTTTTCAGTCAAGATCAGACATGAAAGAGTGTCCCCCCCCCCCCATGCTCAAAAGCAGAACTAAGGAAAAACCCACATGGAAAATTTTGTATTTAATCTTTTTGCAGCAAGTCATTCTACAAAGGGGCTGGTATTTCAAAGCAGAGTCCTTCTTAGGAGATGAAAACTAGCAGAAACAGGACGACTTGTGCTTGTTACCAGGTGATATCCTATGCCAAATCTTAGAACAAACTAGACAAAATTAGAGAAAGTTGTGCTGGGGCCCGAATCTTGACTCACTCTATACGCTTCCCTATGACCTTCCTTAAAATTAACCCTCTTTTACACGCATTCTGGATGGTGTCAATTCATGTAGAAAGCCAGTTTTTTATTTGGTAAGAATTGGTTTCTCTACCTGTACAAGTAAGTACCTAACATAGTGTCTAGTAGGTACTGTGTGATCAATATATTTTAGCTGAATAACTTGTCTTACAAAGTAAATGTGTTTGTAATCTAAAACCTAGGACTTTACTACAGTTGAGATTAGAGGTTTGTCTTTGCAAAAGATAACCCATTACTTAATGTTATTTGCACTCAGAACCTCAGAGTTAGGATATATCAAATAAGTACGCAAAATGTCATGTGACAGAAGATTTCACTGCCCAGCCACTAGTCGGAATATGTGATGGAACTGTAAGAGGTTTTGGATCAGATGTTATAGAACTTTGGATGCTAAGAGAAAATTAGAAACTTTGATGGAAAAGTATGATCATAAAAACTGCCTCACAGATTACAAATTTCCTGAGGGTATTAACGCCACTCATTTTTAGTATCTTCTAAAGCATCCAATAGCATGTGAAAGGGAAGGGACAGTGTGGACAGCAGGTGGAAACATATGTGGCTCTGAGCATGGATTTCAGCCTCAGAATAAAACCCAGCTCGGCTGCTTGTGTGTGTGTGTGTGATTTGGGGAAGCTTCTTAAGCTCCTCAGTATTTGATGTGGTTTCCTTTTTTATTAATAATATTTTGATATGGTTTCCTTTTTTATTACTTACTGTTTACCTCATTAACTCAAGGTGAGTTTTTGAGTTTGGACTGAATTAGGAGTAGTGGACAATGCCTACAGAGCCTGTAGGAGGAATTGGCTGGCTCCTCTGTTGCCTGACTTCTTCAAATTGGGTTTTGACTAATGGGAGGCAACAGCAGGAGATTAACAAATAAATGGGGATGGCGTTTTTGGGGGCTCTGTAAGCCCTGAACTCCCCATTATCAGCCACTTACACTGTAGGTCATGGCGGTTGCCAGCAGCCTTCACTTAAAGGTTGCTGTCTGAGACTCTCACAGGCTCTGTCCCCTTGTCAGCACTCCAGGCCGATGACTGCCCACTGTGGTCTTCCTAGTTGAGAGTGCTAGGCTGTTTCTCATGCTTTCCCCAAACTGCTGCACATGGGAACACTCGTCTTAACTACACTAGTCTCAAGCTGCATTGGAGTATATCATTTGTTTTCTGTTGTGAACGTCACTGACACAAGTGACTACCTATCTCCGAAGTCATTATAAATAACATGATTTAGGTGGGATTTAGTACAATGGTTGACTCACCGTGTACATTCAGCAGTGTCTCAGATGGGGACACATACTGAGAAATGTGTTACTAGATTATTGCTTCCTATGTGAGCATTACACAGTACATTTACACAAACTGAGAGGCCCAGATCGGCAGTGTAGTCTTATGAGACCACTGTTCTGTATCTGTCCATCATGGACTGAAGTATTTTGTGGTACGTGACTGTGTTATCATCGTTAGCTTTTTTTGTTGTGGTTATGGTGCTGGAGATGAAACTCAGGGTCTGACAAACTAAGCAAGTAATGTACTGCTGAGCTGCAGCCCACGTCCTCTTTTTAAAAAGATAGTATTGAGTTTGTCATTTCGTTACATGGCTTAAACAATTTAAATGTGGGTGGGAAACAATTTTTATTATCTTGTAGATGTTAGACATGGGAGGTGTAAAACAGGAAGGCCGGGGACTAAGATCACATAGTGTACCAGTGACTAAAGTAACGAGTTAAAATAAGGATTTTTAACTTTGATTTGTAATGATACACAGTCACAAAATGTCTAGAAAAGAAAGTTGTAACTTTAAAATATTTAATAAAAACATAACGTGCTTGGGACCACTGACTGTCTCTAAAGTAATAAACCCTTATTTATGACTAATCATGGGATTGAATCGTAGACAATTTAGCAGCCCCAACTTAATTACTATGAAGGCTGAGACTGAGCTCTTCTATCTTCCTGGTAATTTCAAGACAGTTGATCCTTAGGGCTGAATTTCTTATAGGTGCCCAGGGTAAATATGTTTATTCATAATTAATACTGACTGTGAAAGCAACATTCTTATATTTATGTAGTAGATTTTCTATTAATAGACATTTGTCTGCCTTTTAAGGGTTCTCATCCTTGACCCACATAAAAGTGGCCTTTCTGTGATATTTAACATCATCTCATCCTTAAATCACAGGACATTGTAACACAAGACACAAAATTAAAATGTTTATTAAGAATAAAGGCTTACGTCTCCTAAAGTAGTGACCAGTTTAAAAAACAAAACATGGTGCCATTTCTTTCCATTTGACATAAATTCGCCATAGTTATAGAATTTCAGACCATATGGTCTAATCTTTTACTATCTTGAAAAAATTGCTGAAGTATTCTCTAGGAAAAAAGGAAGTTTCAGAAATGTTGCTTGTTTTGCCCCCTTTTTACAACTAAGTCAAGGGAGAAATCGCAGTTTGAAAGTTCTTTTGGTGTCAATGAGAATAAGGATTTATAGATTGTCCTTTCTGAGCAAAAGCTGCATGGACAAAAATAAATAGTTCTATTGGGGAAAGTGATATAGTGATGTACAATGAATTACTGCCATTTAAATATTTGTGTCTGGATTTTTCTTTCAGTATCACTTTCTTTAGGATCAATCCCAAATAGGATTCCTTCATTTCGTCTTTTTAAAGAATGTGTTTAGAATAGATAGCAACTAACTATATTTCTTTTCGTTTGCTTTTTTTTCTTTTCTTGCCTTTGAATTATCCTTTCCTGAAGATCTGTTACATTAAAGGCTCATAATAATCTGCCAGATGATCCTAGTGAAACCCTCTACTTCTCCCTCTACTTCTGTTTAGCCTTGCGTGAAATACCGCCACATTTTCACAGAGAACTGATGCACACATTTGTTAGTTTAGATGATTGCCCTGTTTTCGCATTGGTTGTGTTGACTGGAGAACCAGAAGTATGGGAATAGAATGAAGTTCTTAGTGGGTCTCCCTGAAGCCATAACTTAAACACAGCCACACAAGGTTCATAAAAGTAATCAGTGCTGTTTCTAGAGGGTTGACATATTACTTTATACAGTTGCTCCGTAACCATGCTTTCGTACCTTTCCTTGTGTGGGCTCTTTTCTTTCTAAGAATTATCTATCTAGCACAGTGGTAAGGATCAAGTACTGTAGTGTGAAGAAGAGAACAATGAACTGTGCTTAGAGTAGACATGAAAATGGTCAGATTTCCAAATGCTTCCCAGAGGTGACATTTGATTTAGAGTTAAGGGCCCAGTGAGTATTCACCAGTCAGGAAATTCAGGGGGAGACACTGGGGTCTGACAGCACTTGGGAAACTGTACTTAGCTGAGACTCCACCATGATACATGTCGTGGACTGACAGGAGATAAAGTTAAAAGGGTGATTGGAGCCAAACTTGGTCCATTTTCCGTGTGGAAGAGGGATGTGTATCTGTCTTTTTAGTAAGTGATATTAATGAGTAATCCTGCAGAGATGCATGTCATCCATTCTCAAGGCTTAGCCTATCATTTCTGTGGTGGTTTCCAAATTTTTTATCTCTAGTCTTGGGATAAAGATTCTTTTTGGGTTCTGGCAGTCTGCATCTTTATATTGTATCAGATTTCCCAAAGTCTACACCTTCAAAGTAAATTCATTACTTTTCCTTCAGAAGTTTGACTCTGTCCCAATTTCCTAGTGTAGTGAGTAGCCACAGCTTTAAAGGAAATTATCCGTAACACTCCATGTCTTTACTCTCCCTCCCCAGTGTCTCCGAGCATCCAGGGGCTCAGTGAGTCCTGCCTTATTTTATTTTTAAAACTACTCTTAACATGATTAGTATCCTTTCCACACCTCCCCACAATGTCTAGTGTCTTTAGGTTGTTATTCTTTCTATTTTTGGTTGTCATAGTGACATTTTAACTAAATTCAATTTTTTCTGCTCTATTCCTGCACCATTTCTAAAATTAATTTAATCAGTGATTTTGCTAGTACATTTTTAGTAAGTCCTCACTGACGGTAGAGTAAATCTGAAATTCTTACCATGACGTATAAACCCTTAGGATTTTACTCCGCGTCACGTGTCCAGCTTCAACAGACCCATGACCAAACATCTCACCCTTCCCTGCGTATTGAATAACTTGAAACTCCTTAACATTGCCAGCACTTGTTGGTTTCTTGTGTGTTTTCCTCTTGTTCCCAGCCTTTTGCCCTGTCAATTCACTGCCCCTGACCTCTGCCTCCAGTCTGTTTGCTGATAGTTTATTTACTTTTCTCTGTGTGCATTAGACCACAGGCTACTCGGTGTCAGACATTGTGTTTCACTTATGCCTGCTACACTCCCCAGGCTTTGGGTCTGGCAGATAGCAAAAATTAGAGTAGTTACAAAGCACTTCTTACCACACAAACTACTGACTTACTTATAGGCATTATGTCCTTTAAAGGTGAAAAAAATCAACATACATTTTTAGAGCATAATGTGGCAAAAACATTTGAATATTGGAAATTATACATATTTGAGAGAGTCCAGTCAGGACAGTTTTTCATTAAAAAAGTGAGAATTTAGAAGTGATCTATAATAAGACTATAAGTAATAGAACTAAAATTGAGAGAATTTATTATGGTGGTTATTAACGATATTTGATGGAGGGGTGGATGGATGACGGATAAATAATAGAGAACTCAGTGTGTTCCTTAGGACTTACTAAGGTACTTATTTAATTTATAAAAATCTTAACTTTTTGCAACAAACTTATTTAGAGGAGCAGTCAACAAAGGCAAATACAGAAGCAGTTTATATGGCAACAGCTTGAAAGGAGAAAAGACACATCATGAGAGAGTAAAATGACTTGCCTTTTAAAGTGGTTATTTAAAATTATAAAGGTATAATGTAGAATTATTAACTTAGGTTCAAAACTAATCATTCAAGTAAGTGTATTTTAGGGTTCCTTTAATAAAAAACCAAACTTCCAGTGGAATAATAAACTTAATGGTTTATCAGTCACTTAGTAGAGAGTAATAATTAAAAGTGTGGCCCTTAGAATCTGAGTGTTGTAGTTTGTTCAGGCTGTGTAGTGGACTGGTAACTGGTGGGTCAACTTGTACACCAGCTGAACTGAATCAGTGTGGTCTGAGTGCAGATGACCCACCTGAGGACTGTTGCCAGCATCAAAAGGAGACCCGGAGAAGAAGAGGGGGTTGTGGATTCTTCTAAGTGTTGTTGTTTGGAGCCATTGGGTCTCCTGGAGGAGCTTGTCATGCTGGCTCCCCTGATGTGAACTTGGCTATTAGCATCAGAGGATCTTGTTGCTAAGCCTGGCTGCAGTTCATTTGCAGGGAGCTTTGGTCCTTACTTTGAGCATCATTTCCTGGCTCTGGAGGAGAAGATATATGCTGTTTAATCTCCAGAAGCTTGTCACGCTGGCTTCCTGATACATACTGGACTGTTATCATCACCAGAGGAACTTGGGACCTCCTTGTCACTGAGGATGGCTGTAGTACTTTTTGAGGGGAGCCCCAGTTCTTATTTTGAGCATTGCTTCTTGGCTATAGTACAGAACCTTCAGCCTGCTTGCACAGATCCTTCACCCTGATGGCAGATACTTTCTAGCTGCCACCTCTGACCTTTGAGCCTTCCTAGCACAGGTATGTGAAACAGACTTGCGCGAGTCATTGTCATGGGCTCTAGGTCTTTGTCTGACGGCAGGTTATTGCCATGGGATCCAGGCTGTTGGCTGAATTCTTCAGGTCTTTAATGTTGTGGACATGCACTTGCTTTGTGTTTGACTATCATAAAATAATACCATAAATTATGTGTCCTATATGTAATTGTTCTCTTTGCAACCCCTGACTACAACAGGCTGCTAAAACAAAATACCCTAAACTGGTAGCTCATAAAGAACAGAAATCCATTTCTTGTCCTCTTAGAGATCGGTGGGTTCAAATTAAAGCTCCAGCAGAGTCAGTGTCTGTGAGATGCACTCTGGGTCTGGGGTAGGTGTCCTCTGTAGCCTCTCCTGGTAGGTGGCTCAGAGCACTTTGCAGAGCCTCTTCTACAAGGACATTGATTCTTCATGACCCTCCACTCACCCACACTCTTACTTTGTAATGTCACATTGGAGATAGATTGCAACAAGATGTTCAGATCTTAATGTTGCTCAACAGGTGATGACTGACTGACTGGTAAGCCCTGATGTGCAGACCTAGTAAGTGATAGGTCTGTGGAGGGGAAGAAGAGGAGGAAGGACTGGCCGGCGGTGGCTGAAAAGATAAGAAGTATAAAATATAAGTAACCTTTATTTTGGGAATGCGGGGAGAGACACCCCCGACTCCCCAGGGCGCAGCATCTCCACCCCGGGGCCTGCCATCTCTCTCTCTGACACGTGGAGTGGGGGAATATAAAAAGCCTAAGCTTAGGGCAGTGCCCTAAGGCCATTAGAGATGCACAGGTATTTCATTGGCACACGTTTGGCGCCAGGGACAGGTTGCTAGGGGTGGGGGTATAGGGTTACAGGTAAATCTCTAGGGGCGGGGGAGGCAGGAGCTCCCTAATTCCGGCTGAGGCTTTTTCTGGCTATAGCGTCTGGTCTGGGCCAGCAGCCCTTTCAGTAAGGGCTTGTGCTTATGTTTTCAGCTCTTTGCCTTTCTTAGTTTCTTTGATACAGACTAAACAGATGCTGTGTCTCTTCCTCCCTGTAATCCCCTGGACCTTTGCCTTGCATTATTTTTCTGTCAGGACGCTTTCCTCAGGTAAATATCCTGGGTTTCTTTGCTTGTTGTCCACCTTCCCTACAGGAATGTGAGCTGATAAGTATAATACTTCCCCTTTTTTGACTGTTGAATTCATGAAACCTAGTAAAGTCCCTGCCCCGTAGCATGGAATTCAGTAATATTTGTGGAAAGAATAAGTGTGCAAATATAACCCTGTGCTCATTACAGCATCCAAAATAGGTTGTGTTACTGTAATGAACGTGTTTTTGTAAATATTGCTAATTACAATGGTAATACTTGTTCACTGAAAACATGCAAAAAATGGAAAATACAAAGTCATATCTGTAGAAAAATTGAAAATTATTTTCCAAGTCTGCAGTAATGATTTAACATTTTGATGTGTTTTCTTTTTTATGCATCTGATACCGTGATTGTGCATCTTCATAGATGTATTATTTATGTATCTTTTCACCCAGTATTCAATCATCAGTATCTTTTTGTAATTTAAAAAATTTTTAACTTCTTTTTAAAAATGTAATTTTTCTCCACCTTAACAGAAATAATGAAACAGAGAAGGAAATCTGTGTTGCAGGCAATCGTTGGCAACATCTTTACAGTGCAGACCTTGCCGCACACCTGCCAAGTCGTAGTGTTTGGATATAGATGAGTGAGGGTGGGTATGAGAACCATCTCTTTGGATCTTGAGTGAGACATGGATTTTCTCCAGATTAATTGGCACTGCCATAAAAGGTGTTTCCTGATTTATGTGTCAAAACTTCGAACTGTAGCAAGGCTGGGTGAGAAGGTTGGGGTGATTGTGGGAGCGTCCAGGTTTCACCATGACAGGCAGGCAGGAGGAGGAGTCGTTCTGCGGCGCTGCGGTCTCAGTGTTCTTTCCTTTAGCTTGCTGGCTGAGGGGCCCTGCTGCAAGTGAGTGGAGGAAGGAGGAGGACAGACAGGAGCTGCTCTTCACGGATTCCCTGAGAGTCCCACTAACACAGGCACGGGAGGAACAGAGGGTGGGTGAGCAGAGGCTTCCTAAGAGAGCTAGCCAGGCTCTTAGGGGAGTGTATTACTTGTTTCACACTCCGCACATGTTAAGACACTAAGTAGTACTTGGTGAACTGCGAGGGCGAGTACTTTCTCCCTAATACATTTGGCGGAGAGATGTGGCCACTACGGAGAAAATAGCACATTAAAATTAGAAATAAGAATGAAATAGCTGAGCTTGTGCAAACTGTAGTTTACAGAAAGAGGTTAGCACAAAAGTAGTCATAAATCACAGATGCAACGTGGCACAAGAAGGCATGTGTTTCTGTAATTTAAAATGAGCTTCTTGGCAAAAGGTGAAGCTGAGCTTTTCAAATTGCTGAAATGTTACTGTTTATTTATGAGCCAAGATAAAACACATTTTTAGATAAATGACTAAATTGAAATACTATAATGCCTGCCATTCAAGTGCTGTTATAGCTAAAAAATGCGACTATAAAAGTGTCAAATTATTACAGAACCTATTTGTTGGTTAGGTGTTTGCTGTGTTCTATCTACTTAGTTTATTGACTCCTACCAGGTTTTACTGCTGCCTGCCTTGCACAGCCAATCCATGGTAGCTATTGTAAATGCAAGATATGGGCCTTTCTACCTTACACAGCCGTGAAGGCTCAGAAACTCAAAGCAGAGCTGATCCTGTTGCTGATGACATTAGATGAAGTAGAAATAAGGCTACTTTGTTGTTATATCTCATTTACAGAACTGTTGTTGCTGTTTAAAGTTCATATTGAGGTGTGATTTCAGACTACATCTTATGTTCTAATTGTTCTGTCATCTCCCCTGGGAATTTAAGGTGTGGTGATGAATTTGGTGATCTAAGAGGATAATGTAAGTGTTTGGTAGAGAGATGTGGCGACTGTGGCCACACTGTCAGGTCGAGCCACAGTGCAGCTTCCCACGCTGCTTGTCACAGGAGCAGCAGCAGGCGCGGGGACAGCAGCCCTGCAGTTTGTGCACCTTGAAGGTTAGGAATTGCAGTCTATATGACTGGTGTAAATTATGTTTTGGAAATTATCACAGTTGGGCCATGGAGGGCTGAAATGTTTGGTATAGATGACATTAAGTCACGAGAAAGTTAGGGTGGAATTTTCACTGTGGTAGTGATGGAGGGGATAAAAGCTACTAGAAAGACTATGTCAGTGTGGCAGACTGAGCTTGTGCAAAGAGAGAAGTGAATTAAAGTCTTAACAGTAACAGGAGACGGGGCACAGCAAGCTTGAGTACTCCAAGGGACTGGAAGAAGAGCTCTCAAAAATATACATGAAATGACAAATTAATAACTGCTGACACATAGCGTATACAAGTAGTGATAAAAAGATGTGATTGTTTAAAATATTACTATAGTGAAAGACACATTGATGGAATAAATATTCAAAACAAAGTGGGAGTATTTTGAATTTTTAAAGGAGCGTTAATGGCAATTTGTATTTTACTGTAATAAATATTTTTAAGCATTCACTATTTTTTTTATCACATCTCATTACCTTGTGCAGGCTCAGTTCTGTGCTATTTTATGGGTGTCAAGCATTCATCACAATAACCTGGTGAAATAAGAATGTTGAACACGGGGCTGGGGATTTAGCTCAGCGGCATAAGCTCCTGCCTTGCAAGCAGATAGTCGTGAGTTCGACCCCCGGTACTGATAAAAAAGAAAAAGACAAAAAAAAAAAAAAAAAAAAAAGAATGTTGAACACCTCAAACATACAAATGAAGAGGAAAAAAAGAAGCACAGAAAGTGTAGTGAGCCAGACATGGTGTTGCATGCCCACAAACCCAGCTCTCTAGGACACTGGGGCAGGAAGACTGCAGTGTCAGCTGCCCTGGACAGTCGATCAACTCAGTGAGACCTTGACTCAAAATTAAAGGAAAAAACTTTTTTTTCTTGATGCTGGGAATCAAACTCATGATCTCACACTTGCCAGACAGGCACTTATGCCACTGAGCTAAATCCCCAACCCAAAATCCGTCTAAAAAAAGAAAAGCTTGAGTGCAGCTCAGTGTGAAGGCCTGGATTTAAAAAAAAAAAAAAAAAAAAGTGTGCAAGTGACTCGCCCATATCACATGGCTGAGGATGAAGCCCCGCTGAGATTTGAGCTTCCAGTTCAAGTCCATGCTCTCGGTAATTACGCTGCAGTGCCTCTTTCATGTACAGGAATGTAACACAAGGAGGGTAAGGAAAAGAGATTGCACAAGCTCAGCCAGTGGACAGTAGGCCTGAAATAAAGGGAGGAGGATTAGGGTGGATTAGAGAAACACTTTAATAGGAAAGTCTAATTAGGAGACATGGATTCATACTACAAAAAAAAGTTTTTCAAAATTTTAGAAGTTTCATGCTGCGATTGAAACATGTCTTTGTGAAAATATACAAATTTTGTGCAACTTTACCATAGTCCTGGGTTAAATAAGCATGTGAAATATTTGTCACCACTATACAAATGAATAAACCACTGATTTTGGGTACGTTCAATAATTTTTGTGTTACTTTCTTCAATTTTTGTCCCTTGGGTTAAAAGGACCTTATAGGTGTAGACTTAGTGACTACAATTTTTAGGAAATGTTATTAAATTGCCAGAGATATTTTCAAGTCAGTGTAGATTTGGCTAGGGGATATTCCAAAATGTATTTGACAAACTGCTTTCACTTTTAATAAGACAGTGGAAAGAATGGCGGGAACATTTCTAGGCAGTTCATATAAGCAGTTATCCCTCTTTTTGTTGATGTTCAAGATCCTGTATAATCTTATTTTAAAGAAAAATAGGTTTTAGCACTTATCCGTAGCAGAATGTAATTGCTAGTAATTGTTTTATTGCAAACACTGAGATGAACATTTGCCAGTGACCCAAAAGATAGGGCTTCATCATGTGTCATTTCCAAGGTTTTATCCTTACAGTATGAAACTAACTGTGTAATTTGATTAACTATTGAATTCAGTGATAAAATAAGCCATAGTAGTAATTTGGCTAAGTTAAGCCATTTTTGTTTTCTGTCATCTTCCTTAACTAAACATGCACATTTGTATTTGTAGAACAGGCAGCTATATCAGCTCTTACAAAATAATAGGAGGCAAATGAGTTGTGATAGTCCATTGAGCCTGATCAGTGTAACTTTGAATACATACAACGTTTGTCATATTGTTTCACTGTTGTTGCTGTACATCAGGTTCTCCAGGAGACAGAATAGACAGTCAGTTTACTAGGATGTGCTTTTGTGCACAGGGAAGCAAAAGTGGGCAGGAGAGAAGTTGGCTCTAATGTGGCCTAAGGCCTCAGCTAACCCGCGAACAGAGTACTGAGGTTAGGAGAGGCGTCCAGCGTTGTATTGAGTTAGGACAACTGGGCCTGGCCTTTACAACTCCATGCCATCCCAACGTTGGGCACAGGTTGCGCTGGGAAACTGGCTTTCTAGTCAAGGAACAGTACTGTCAAAAGTGGATACAGGGGTTAGCCCAGCAATATCCTGCCCAGCAGTTGGAATAAATGCTTCAATCTTAAAAAGAAAATGTGGGTGACACACAACAGTGTTCTCTGTAGTAAGTGGCCAAAATACTTCACACTGTAAGGGAAAAGTGGAAATAATAAAAAGTAGTACATGTATTTTATCATTGATATTTAAGTTACAGTGTTATCTAGGAACTTATGTGAATTAAGAGAAATTTTGTTATTTAAACCTTTTTGGCTAGGAAAGGAAAGAAAATAATATATTTAGTTATATACTTACTCAGAGACTATATGCATCTAAGCACTGTCTTAAAAACTTTATACATATTCTATCATTTAATGTTTGCAACCTCCTTGCAGGGAAGGTCCCATTGTCCTTCCACTGCGAAGTAAACAAAATTGGCGAGGTTAAGGGACTTGTCTAAATCATATGGTTAATGGTCTAGTCATGAATTTGAGCCAGATTTGCCCAAATTAACACTGTTTTCTTGGTTCTATCCTGTGCTGTTCATTCCAGGTCTTGAATTTTAGCCAGAAATTTTCTCCTTCAGTAGTTAGCTTTTTGCCTCAGTTTTAACAGTATTTTCTTTTCCATCACTTTGACCTGACAGACCGTAGAAATCTGACATTTAAACTATCTCATTTGACCTTTTCCAGTATCTCCATTGGTTAAAAAGTACTTTTATACTCATGTAGCAGGACTGTAGTGCTGATGACAGTGATCTCAGATCTTAGGAGAAATGGGTCATTCTAGGGTGGCTTCAGCCAGCAGTAAATGAGATTGCAGGGAAAGAAAACCCACGATGCATAGTGTGATAGGAGCCAGAGGAGAGCATGATTACAAGCTCATGCTTGATTCCCTCATTGGGTCTAACACGGGAGAAAGAAAAACATGAGCAGATGCGTATGTTGTAAGTACAGAAAGAAATGAACCTTTAAATGATCATACATTATAATTCTTTAACTTATGGTGAAGATATTCTGAAATCAGTAGAAAGAAATTACTTAAGTGGCCACTAGGAAAAATGTAAGTTACATGCTTTAAGTATGTGACTTAAATGAATTTTGAAATGAATTTGCCTCCTTTAAATTTGCATAACTTCCTAAGGACTTATTATTTCATTAGAATGTCTCAACTATGTGCCTGTTTTTCTGAGACTGTTATTGACTGATCCTCTCAGTTGAATCCTGTTACCCAGGGTACAGCACTTACATTGCTCTGTGACATTTCCTCTGGTTGATTTGTGATGGCACAATTCAGGTAGACTAAATTCTCTTGTCCCTTTGTTTATTTTGCTAGGGCACTGCTTGTGTCAATTCAAGAGATTTTAAGACATTTGTCAGATTTCCATGTATTTCATCTTCCATAATTAAAAAATGGAATCAAGAGAGTCATATTTCAGTAACATTCCCTTTAATAAAAAGTGCATGAAAATAATCTCAGTCAAGTACTTTGTGTACCTTCTCAAGCAACTATTATTTTATTCATATATTTTTTATTGTACTCAAATCTTAATAGAGGATTTAGAGTAGATATTTCTGTATGATTGATGCAATGCCCTATATATATAAGTTACTTGGGACTTTAGTGTTTTAAAAAACAGATGCTAATATTTTTGTCTGTTGAAGTAAAAAGGGGAATTTAGGTACACACAGATACCAAAATTAATGCATGTGCTGTATGCATGTTTATGAACAACCCGAAGTTTTAAAACACAGTCACAATTTATCTCTATTAATCTTAAGGGCTATAAATTGGATTATCACAATTGGTGCTGTAAAGATGTAAGAATTTATTGTTATCATTCTTGTGAAAATGGCTACAGAATGGCAGTAATAACACTGTTTATACATTCTGTGGTATGCTAACACAGACAGTTTATAAAGATTGACACTTGAAAACCAAATTAAGGCTTTCTTTGAGTTCTGTTTGACTACCTCAAATCAGACTCAAGTACTAATACAATATATTGATAATTAATATATAATGTACAATAATTGAATGATTTCAGATTTCATTGTTTTCAGTGTCCATAGTACTGCATTTGAAGAAAGTTTTTCCAGTAATTTCATATACTTGGCCCAAGTCTTGAAGGGAGTGCCCATGTCTTGAACTTCAGTAGGGTTAAACCTAAGTTTATGGCAGGAGTCACACATACTTCTGCTTCAAGGGCAAGACCCCACAGTCATGTGCATGCAGAAGCTGGGAAGGTATTTGGGTACAGGAGAGGGAGTTGGGTACTGCTCCGTGGGAATGGTGGGCACTGGCCAAGTAAATGAGGTAGAGGTCTGGGGAGGCCTGGGCTCGCAGTCACTTGGAAATGTAGTGCAAGTTTCTTTGCCTCTTCTGATTTTTCAAAAGAAGACAGAAGTATAAATGTTTTGGTAATATTTCTCATATTTTAGAACATTCAAGCAGGCCAAATAAACCCCCGTATGTATGCCCGAAGTCCCCCAGCACTCACATTCCATCTAAGTCAGTGAGAGATTAGAGTCCTGCATCACCTTCCAGTTTACATGTGTGGGATGCTGATGCATTTTGAATAAGAAACTGTGTTCAAAGAATCTTCAAAAGAATATCAAACCCAGCTTTGGACAGCTTTCCGTTTTCTTCAAGTGTGAAAAATACCATGACTCTTCCACTTTTCTAGTTTAAGCATGCATCTATGCTATTTAGCCAAAAACAGAGGGAGCTGCTGGAATCTTACTTCATTTGGCTTACTGTCTTTTATTATTGATGGGCCCAAATTGGATACCAAATTTCCTCTTTCCCATTTGTATCTCAGTATGAGATTTCCTGTCTTGATTCAAACATTAGTGGTCAGTTTTGCTCTGATCGTCTGTCTGTCTGCTGTCCTTGATATATTTTTATAACATTTTAAACAGAAAGTATAAGTTCTACTGTGAAGGCTCTCTAGTGATTTCTCAAGTTGTTTTCACATACAACTGATGCTGACTTCTAGAACAGAAGTCTGGGAACTACCAGTGAATGTAAAACCACTGAAAACAGGTTTTCCTCCTTCCCAAGTCTGCCTTTAGGGGCAGAGCGGGAAAATGAATGGGAATGAAAACTAGATGAGCGTAGTCGAGAAGGGGGTTAATTTTGTTAATTTCAGGCTCACATCAGCTTGAAGACAATATAATAATCTATAAAAAATGGAACACTAACAGGAAGCCAAACTACTACTACTTTTTCCTTAAGAGCTCAATGTGTTATAGTAATCAGGAGCTCATAAATTGCTCTTACAAGCAGTGTAGAAAAAGACACCGTATGAAACATACTTAGAACTGGAAACTGTAAAGAGATTCTTTTTCCTGGTTACTCATGAGGTATTTTTTCCATGTGTTGCGTTTCATTTTTGCCTTTTCCGTGGAGAATGTAGGGATTTTGCTGTGCTTTTTACGTTTGTGATAGAAGAGGTGGGGTCAGCATGCAGCTGAGTTATATTAAGGAGCCAACTGTGAGGAGTACTGTTACACTGTCCCTTCATTCTGTATATGAATACAGAAAATGATCACATGCTCCTCTTCATTTATACTGTTACCTGGTTATAATTACTAAATTGTAGCTGGGAATGAGAATAAACAGAGAGGAGCGACTAAAACAATCCAGTTTCTTCCAACCCCAGCCTTTTCCCTCAACAGGAAACTTTCAGTTGCTTTCTTTCATCAGAAAACAGGACTAGAAATCTCTAGCTAGAACACCATTAGGAACTGTTAACACCTCAGAGCAAACAAAAGTTTTACAAAATATTTACTATAGTTTGAAAATCACTTAGAAAGTCAGTGTGACCCTGTTAACATAAAAAAGCAGTTCAATAATCCCTTTTGTTACTTCTACAGAAAGTCTGGAAAAATTAAAATTATACTAGCTGAATCTAGACAAATTTATAAGGCACGTGCTGATGGTGAGTAATACCTGTTTATTAGGATGATTTTCAAGGTCCTTACATGAAAACTCCCATAATTTAGCTTTATAACTTAGAATTTAACCTTAAACAAGGATTAGGCACTCATAAATTGAATCAAGTGATCACAGACAAGAGGAAAGAAAAATGTTTTGTAATGCATTCTGCTCCACCCCCTAGTTACTTTTTGCTTCAAGAGCCTGCTTTATGGTAAAGAAGGACATATTTAAACTCTTTAGTGCCAAAAATTTTCAGTTTATGTCTTGGCTAACCAGTGAGGATAATCAGCACCTTGTCTTCCTTAAAACGGACAGAGTGCATTTTTAAGGTGTTGAAAGAGAAGTACACGGAGCCTGCAGGTTGTGCAGTTTCAATTCTCTGGCCTTGGCAAAGATTTTGAAATTTAAGTTGTTTTCACTTGTCAGTGTAAAGCACTGTGCTCAGTTAAATGAATCAGCTACTTTAATCTTTGATATTTTCTAGCTAATATGTAAAAATTGGAAGTGCATATTCTGAAATATAAAAAAAATCAATGTTATTTGAGTGTTCATTTTACTGTGGTTTTATGTTACTTTTACCAAAGGAACCATTTTGTTCCCCAATTTGGTAAGTCTGTTTTAGTGTATTAAAACTGTTTTAGTGTATTAAAAAGGCAAACCCATTTAAAAATTCAGGTTTAATCCTTTGGAAATTAACCCTTCCAGGTTTTAAATGAATACTGCCTGTATTTAGGACAAATGTGGTGAGCCTCCACTTCATTTTGAGTTTTATTTGGAAAAACAGTATGACTTTCGGTGCCCCTGGCCACTGTCTAAAACGGGCTCTTCTGGTGTTTCCTAGAAAGAGCACTGAGGCGCTTTCCCTGTCAGGTTTGTAGGAAACTCTGCTGTCTTCAGGAAGGCACCATCCATGTGAAATCCACCCTTAGTATTTGAGAAATACTGATTATGAGAAGACACTTGGGGTGTGATTCGAGCAGCCAGAAGCTGCATCAACAGTAACCCATCTTGAATCTGGCTTCTTCCAGGACCCTTTGTCTCCTCCAAGTTTACTTCTTAAGTATTTCATAGAATCAGAAGTTAAAGGACTGCATGATAAACTTACATGGAGTTTAGCCGTCTGCCCACATCTGATGTGAGTTTCCAGACATCAGCTTGAATATACCCAGTTTACAGCTTCTAGCTTGCTCCTTTCCTCTTTTCTAATCCCCAGTGATCTGTCATGGTTGCCTTGTTACCCAGCTACGTGGAGCACGGGGGTTTTCAACTGGAGAACAGAGAACAGTAGAACCAGCAGCTGGTGCACAGGTGCTCAGACAGTGTCCTGTGCGGTACAGCTGCAGGTGAAATGCAGCTCCTTCCCTCATCATTCATCGCATTGTTGGGTATGAACTTGTGTAGATTTAAAAAAAGCACTACCACAGGACCATCCCAATCCGCATGGAGTGAATCACTGTTATAGCTGTGTGTCGTGACCAAATTTGCATGGAGTACCTGATGCATGGAAAGAATTCCTATACATTGTCTTATTTAATCCTAACAGTTCTGGGGGACCTTGATGACCATTATCCTGACTTAAGTATGAAGAAATAGCTTTATAAAGAGGCTAAGAACTTGCCCCTCCTAATTCTTCAGATGAGTCATGGGGGAAGGAGCCCATGTCCTTAACACAGTGGCGGGTCCCTCAGCTCTCTGTCTTACTCACCAGCACACATGAGGTGTTCCGTACCCTCAGCTTCCTTTTTTTGTAGCTTGTTTTCATGGTGTCTGTGATAATCAGGTTTTGCTCTTTTTCCAGTAGCAGAATGTTTTGATAAATGGTGTGCTTAACTTAGAGATGATTTATAATTGACATATAAACTATCTCCATACTTGTTTTAATTAGGAAACAAAATAGAATGCCTTTTTTCCTCCTTTGCTCTTAAACGTGTGATTGCACTTGTGCTGGGAGAGATACAAAGGCAGATGGTATCTTAAAATAGTTTTACCAAATATGTTCATTCATGAGTTAAAACTATAGAAGTCTTCATGCCAATAAAATTTTCCAATGACATTAAAAATATCTTAATGTTGAAACGTATGTAACTGTCAAACTAAATCAGCTAACTTTTCCTGTCTCTCGCCTCTTAGCTGCACATGGCTGACGTTTGCTTAAAATCAAAACTTTCCCCTATGAAGGAGTTTTCTAATGCTTCCTTTCAACTCACTTTTTCCCTAACAATGCTTACTGTATGAAATCTTTTATTCAAATAGGAACACATCACACAAGTTGGATCACACTGTTAGAAATTAGTAATTTGAACTGGTGACAGTTGAAATTACTGTGAATTTTAGTTAGTTTAGTTCAAATTTTAATATTTGAAACAACCATCTTATATATTTTATATGTAAACAGTTTTTAGAAAACTAAAGTAATGGAATATTAATAATTACATCTTGCTTTAATGGATTACTAAGGATGTTTTATACTTAAATCACCAGTTCTCTGTCTACATAGGTGACATTCTGTTGTTTATTTTCTCTAAGGTATGGAGGGTTTGGGAAAGGCCAGTTGTTCCTTAATTTCTTGGTCCTACTGAATTCTTTGGATCAGGTTGTTGGCTGGGGTGTAGGGATCCTGTCCCTGTGAAGTGTAGAATATTTAACACTAAGAGCTCTGTTGATGGCAAGCTGAACATGGCTAAGATCTACGTCTAAGATGATTTCTTTTTTCTTTTCCTTTCTGACTTCTGTCCATGTATCACCTTCTCAGGCCTTCCCACATGGTATTAAAAAATTGCTAACCCTGTAACTGCTTCCTCACTTCTATACCACTGTGTTTGTCCTCCTAGCCCGTATCTCTACCCGAAATTACATATTTAGTTATGTAACATCATGCTCCTGCACTAACATAGAGGATTCATGAGAGAAGAATATCTCTTACTCAGTTCTGTAGCCCCAGCAGAGATCAATAACTGGCATAATCTGCAGCACAAGTAATTGTGATTGAATGAGTAGATTATTCACAGACACTTGGTATAAAAGAGTAAAGAGTCTATTAAAGATCACAAATGTACCTGAAAATAAACTGCTATGAGCATTTTTATTAATGAATCCTAGCTTCAAGTATGATCATTCTACCTAATGGTTCTTACAATGAATTATTCCATAATTGAGATTTAAGTTTTTCCCTCATTTTATGTAATTAGTTTTACTAGGATCTATTTTTCATGTCAAGCAGACACCAAATTCAGAGAGGAAAAAGCTTTGAGCCCACAGGAAAGGAAAGAAAGCCAGGAAGATGTACAAAGTAAGAAAACATTAGGAAAATAGCACTCCTCATACAGTCAATCTCTGCAAATATACCGATAAGCAAACTAGTAGGCAGTTTCATTGGAAAGTACAAAAGGAGAGGCACAAAATTCTTTTGAATGCTAGTTTGAGTTTTAGAACAGTCAACGTTTTGAAGCAGCAATTTATCCATTCAGAGTTTAAAATTTTTCTGTATTTTAAAATTTTTATTTTGTGCTTATATTTTCAGCTCTCCAAATTTAACCAATTATAAATATTGTAAGTACTGGTCCACTCAGTCTTTGAATGAAAGTAGTTGCCATTCATAGGAAGTCTATACTTCATTATAAAAGTGAAACACAAAATTCTTGGCTTAGTTATAAGGGGCCCCAAAATAACTAGGTTAAAATGCTGTAAGCTTAGTAAATAGCAAAGATACACATCCTTCAAAATGTGTTTGTTCTTAACAAATTATGGATAGTAGGGGAAAAACAGCCTCTTCAGACTATGACCTGAAATCTGCTGAAATTTTATATGACAAAAACACCAAGCTGGCCATGAACAGATGCCAGAATTCACTAATTGCATCAGTAAAGTGTCTGATGATTTGTGTCTCGGAAAATGCTAACATCAAGTTTGTTGTTCTTATTTGATTGTTCACATGTGTTCCTTATTTATAATGCCTAGTTTGCTCTTTTAATGAACCTAATGTTTCTTAGTTTTAAACTTAGATTCAAAATAATAAGGATACTAGGTTTTTGTTTGTTTTCCTTTCCCTATAACTGCTTCTTGAGATACGTGTAAAGTTCTGGAGAGTCTATAATAGTCCTGATACCATGGGGTTGGTACCAGATTGCTATATATTTATCATAGAACTGGAATAACTAAAGTGAATGCTCTACCCATTTTTTTAATTGACTGTGTTTTAGAAAGGAATTGATAACTGTGACCTCCATGTATCGGTGATGAGTTCCCTGCTAATCTCTCTTATTCTACTCTATCTCTGTTATCTGTGTTAGACCTGGGAATATAGTTCAGTGGCATAAGCATCTTCTTGGCAAGCACAAGGTTCTGAGTTCAATTCCTGGTACTAAAAGAAAAGAAACTGTATTATCTCTGTTATCCTATCTCCAGTTATGGTATAGTATGCGATGGTATCTTATCCCTTCTAGATTCTAACATTGCTCAGCATCCACAGTATGAGTGATGTGTGCGTGCGCGCACGCGCGCACGCGTGTGTGTGTGTGTGTGCGTGTGTGTGTGTGTGTGTGTGTGGTTTTATAATGATGATAAGTGGTGATGACAGTAAACAGGGAAAGGCAGAGAAGGTTGCTGTTTATTCAGATTCTAACTGGTAGCATAGCATTTTGTTCAGTCAATAGGCATGTTAAATTTTTGAAGCATCATAACAGATGATACATATGGGGAATATGAAGATGAATATGACCTAGCCCGGCAGTTTGCCTTCTAATGATTTTCATTCTTGAGATAGTCTAGTGCAACATATCTTCCTGGAAGTGTTAGTGATTCGAGGAAATCAAGGTTATTCAACTTTTGAACACCCAGTGGAATGCTTTCACCAATTGGTTTGACTAATGGCATTTTTATTATTATTTAGAACTTACTGTCTTGAAGATTTTTTAAAAATAAGTTTCTGATTTTTCTCATAAATTGTTTTATGTGATTTTATGTTTTCTAAGTAAATGATCACTTAAATGAGGTTAAAAGTAGGACTCCAGACGAGGGAATGGAGCTTGTCTCAAATAGCTAATGAGTTTTCCAAAGCCAGAAAGTCTTTTGTTTAAGTAGAAGGCAGTTCAACCAGCACATTCAATTAGATCATGTCTGTTACAAAGAATAGATTTGTGGATTGATTGATATTGTTTTAGGGCTGTAAAATAAAGATCTAGAGAGCTGAGTCAGTGCACATCTTTCTTGTAGTCATCAAATAATAGGACTCTTACAGTCATTTCTAATGACTTACTGAAATTCAGGTAAGTGAAAATAGGGCTGAAATGATTTATTTGCAAATCTTGTGACATGTCTGTTTAATAATAGTATAAAGCCAAGAAGTCAATCTTAAAACTTTTTAGTAGCAACATAAAGTCATAATTTTGACTACTGAGATATTTGCAATGTGAAGCTATGAGACACTGATGGTATGGATATGATTATGGATATAATGAAAGCAGTTGTCACTGGATTGCCTAGAGCTTTTTCAATCACATTAACTATATTACCAGATAATTAAAACAGAGTTTGAGTAAAGCTTTGAAGGAATGATTCCCAGATGTTAGTGTGCTAATTTTTATCACTAGATTAGAGGTAACCTAGTGTTTTAATGCAGCTGGAATAAAAGTACATACTTCGGTAAAATGTCCAGGAGGCCTCTCACCCCTTTTCCTATGAGTAGACCACGAGTTCTTTGTCACCCACGATATGTTACAGCTTTCCGGAAGGTCTGTGTAAGAAATGCTTTTCAAAGCTTGCTGGGATAAAGTGGCCATCATAACATCTTTACCACAAAGAACATCTGTTCACCAGCTCTGCTCTCCTTGAGCACCTTTGGGAGAACTTCATGGAATGACTTTTTCTCTCTTGACAGGCTTCTGTGCTTGAGGCCAAATTGCAATGTCAACAGTAGTATGTTCGTGTTTGTGTTTGTGTGTGCGTGTGTGCGTGTGTGTGTGTGTGTGTGTGTATTAAGCATGCTAAACCATAAGCATGGTTATTTAAGAATATGTTCTAGGGGCTGGGGGTTTAGCTCAGCTTCATAAGCACCTGCCGTGCAAGCAGGCAGTCGTGAGTTCAATCCCTGGTACTGATAAAAAGACAAAAAAAAAAAAAAAAAAAAAAAGAATGTGTTCTATTATTTCAGGTAATTGTAAAGTCATTGACACAAGATATGGTGTTCTTCTCTGTCCCTTATTACTCAGTTTTTAATTTCTAGAAATCTATATTTTTAATTAAAATAATACATTTGACATGGCACATTTGAGGTTTCAGAACTTTATTCAAACAGTTCAGCTTATGTCTTATTTATGGACTACTGTGAAATGAAAAAATATCTTACGTATTTTCATTTTAAATTGAATAACTGAATTGTGAAGTTATTCAAGGGAGGACAAAGCTGAATTTGGGAAACATTCATCCTGATTTTTCCTCTGATGACATGTTTAATTTTTTAAAAAATCAAAAATGTTTTCCTTTCTAAATTCCAGTTTTTCTGAGCTTGTTAGATTTCTACTGCTTTAACAAAATACCTAAGAACATCAGCTTAAATGGAAAGGATTATGGTAACTCACAGATTCAGTCCATGGTCCGTGGCTCCTTTGCTTCTAGGCCTGTGAACACAGAAACATCAAGGCAGAGGGTGTGGCAGCTAGAAAGCAGAGAAAGACTAAGAGAGAATTTGCTTGTGGTGTCCTCTTCCTCCTCCTCCTCCTCCTCCTCCCACGTGTGTTCCCTTCGGCACCCCAGCCTGTGGTGGTGCCGCCCACATGCAGGTTGGGTCTCCCTCCCCAGGTTGCTGTCATCTCTGGAAACTTCCTCACAAATACACCCACAAGAGTGTGTGGCCAATTTCTTTGGCGTTTTCAGTCCAATCACGTGGACAATCAAAATTAACTCCCAAAGCCTTTGTATACTCCGCATTACCAAACAAATTATGAGCAAAGCACACAATTCATATTTTATTTTTAATCACATAAGTTAATAGTAGCTTTTAAAGCTTAAAGAATGCTACAAATTGATTATATTTAAATTCTGTTCAAATTGCTGGTATTTCCCTCATTACTGGTCTAGGTTTTAAAGCACGTTTATCTTTCATGCAAAATATTGTATGAATTGAGAAACGACTTGAAAATGTTTTGTTCTTAAGTATTTTATATATTACTTTAAAATGAGAATCATAGAAATTACTATTTATAAAGTTTATTCATTCATGTTTGATATCTTTTCCATTAAAGGAAAAAAGTAAACCAGTGTTCATTTTGTGGAACAGTATGGTATGGGCAATTATTATTGTTTCTGCCTTGATGTTCTTGAATAATACTGTGAATATTGAATAATACTTGAATAATACTGTTCTTGAATAATACTGTGGTAATAAGCACACTTCCCACATTATCTGAGCGTTCACTGTTCATTTATAAGGTGAGTGACCCTAAGAGCAGCATATATATTCACTGATGAACTAACTCGTTTTAAAAAGTCTTATTTTTTTAAAGAGGGTAAAATTAAACAGCAAAACAAAACAAAACATAAGAAAGCGATGTAAGAGACATAAATTTCAAAGCAAGACAATTAGAGATCTTTACTGTCTATCATATTGTCTCTTGTTTTCATCCGAATAGTTGACCATAGCTTCACATACAGTGAATTCACACGAAACAACATAGTATAGAACTGATCTGAACAGGATGAGGTAGGCATTTTAGGTTTTCAAGACCAGACATTAGAGAAGTCAACAATAGCTGTCCTAGTGTCTCTCATTCTCTTCAAAATAGCTGTCCATCTCTTCATGTAGGTTGAAATTATACAAAACAAAACAGACTAAAATCACTCTGAACAAAGAATAATAGTATTGCTGGATTTCTCATCATGACACTACAGAATCAACACTGGGTGCTATAGTGTCTCTTTCTTCAGAGTGGTTGTTCATTTCATCATGCGTTATACAATCAGTTCTCATAAACTGTTTATAAGTTCTACACATGCATGAGTCTCTACATATATTTCTGTCCTTTCTATATTAGAGGGCAAAAAAAGCATAGCAAGATAAAACAAAACAAATTCCTGTAAAAACATGAAATGAAAAAGTCATATAAAACCACAATACAAAGTGATCTACAGTGGTTACTGTGTTGTCTCTTGTTATCTTCAATAGAATGGTCCATATCATCAGGCTTAGTATAATTGAATATAGCAGTACATAACAATATTAATAAAAACAAAACATTGGAGATATTATAGGGCTTCAAAAGTATCAAACCGAATGGGAATCCTAGTGAATCTTGTCATCTTCAGTATAGTTGCCTATACTCTCAGACTTAATACTATCAATCATAACAGATTTGAATAAAATCTGTCAATACAAAACAGCAATCTAACCAGATTCAATGATGATCAGTCATGATAAAATAGTACAAGTTATACAGGGCTTCAGATTAAGTTAATAGGGAATTAAGGATGATTACTGTACTATATCCTGCTATTTTGGGGATAGCTGTCTGTGCCCTCAAATCTAGTACAAATAGACCAACTGGAACAGAGTATAATCCATCTAAACAGAGCAGTATGAGCAACGGGGGTTTTAAATCCTTATACACTATTAACAATATCCTCTGCCTTCTTTTTTAAGACTATTCCTCCCCTTTCACTCCCACAGGATGCTGCATATTTTGGGTCCCACCAACTCGCTCAGCTTTTAGATTGAGGTGGGGCAACCTACTATTTACCTAAGTGGTTCCAAGCCTTCTCACTCCTGGACTTGATCTCAATTTGTATTCCTTTACTACAAAAGCCTCGAGCTTTTCCTTCCTAGTAGCTGAGTAGTTCTCTACTGCACATAAGTATCCTGTCTTTCCAACCTATCTGCAGGTGCTGGTCAAGTTGCCCCTATTTCTCTCTGGGTCCCTGTCAGAGCATTGTTTTTTCATATTTGATTTTCAATCCATAAACCCTTTTTCAGGTTAATTATATTTCCTATACAGAGCATCTCGGAGGACCCTACCTCCTGATCTACTCTGCCTATGTGTGTGTGTGTGTTTGTGTGTGTGTGTTTAGTGTATCAAGGCCATCTATGTTAGAGATTATTGCCAACCTTCTCTGCCTTATCTCTGCTATGCTATTTTTCTGCCATTGGTTGTCTACTTTTCTCCTTCACTGCACTGTCTGCCCCATTAATTGAGGCCTCTTTGCCACTGTTCTGAAATGCTAGTATTTTTTTTCTCTCTCTCTAGAATGTCCTTCAGTATTCTGTGTAGGGTTGGATTGGTGGTCACAAATTCCCCCATTAATTGAGGTCTCTTTGCCACTGTTCTGAAATGCTAGTATTTTTTTTTCTCTCTCTCTAGAATGTCCTTCAGTATTCTGTGTAGGGTTGGATTGGTGGTCACAAATTCTTTGTCATAGAAGCACCTTGTTTCTCCATTAATTTCTAGAGACAGTTTTGTAGAGTACATCAATATGGGCTGGAGGTTATTTTCTTTAAGGGCTTGGAATACTTCGCTCCAAGCTCTTCTTGATTTGATGGTCTGTATTGAAAGTCTGCTGTGATTTTGATGGGTTTTCCTTTATAGGAAATCTGTTTCTTTTCTCTGATGGCTTTTAATATTCTGTTCTGGTATTTAGGGATCTTGATTATTTTAATTTCTGGGATCTTGATTATTATATGTCAGGGTATAGCTCTGTTTTGATTGTAGGTGGCTACAGTTCTGTATGCTTCATTTATCTGGATATCATTTCCTTTTCCTATGCTTGGGAAGTTTTCCTTAATTATTTCTGTGAATAACCTTTTTATTTCCTTTGTTTTTACTCTTGCTTTTTCACTCACACTTTTTATTCTTAAGTTACAGATCCTCTTGTTGTCTTCTACCCTTTGTATTGGTACTGCCTGTTTCCTTGTTATTTTAAAGAGATCTTTCCTTTCATGATCACACATTGCAAACATGTCTTCAAGTTTTGATAGTCTATTCTTAGTTTCTTTCAAGCAGTTTTGCCAGCTTTCAATTGAGTTTTTAAGTCCCTGGTAATCGTTTTGAATCTGCTTCTTGTATTCTAAATTTTCTTTATATTCTTCTTTAATTTCTCTCCTTTTTTGTGTTCCTCCATTCTCCTGTCTCTGTCTTCTTGAGAGGTGCTTAGCATTTCTTTTATTAATATACTTATATCTTGCTTTACTTGAATTAATATTTCAGTTTTGAGCTTGTCTACGAGATCCTTAAAATATCTCTTTATGTCCGCTGATGCCGTGTCTGATATTGCATGTTTGCTGCCCTCAATCTGTTTTGTATTTACCTGGATCTCTTTCCTGGATCAATATTCTCAGGGTTGGGGGCTGGGGGTTTTTCTTATTTCTTTCTCTTGTCATGTTTTTGGTTTCTTCCATACAAGTGTGTAGTGGAGGTCCCAGCCCCTTTCCTTGTCGGTTATGGTTCTTCTGAAGCATGCTGGCTAGGGACTTCTGCCCTCTCTAGTTGCTGTTGGTCATTGAGGTACCAGCAGGGGCTGCATATGCTGGTCCCTCCCATCCAAGCCAGTCTACCTTCAGGGGCCTTCACCATGTTAGTGTGTACTGCATGTACAGAATCGGTTTGGGATGACTTATTGGGTCCTGGCCAGGGTTGTGACCCAGGCCAAGAAGATACCACCAGTCTGGTCTGGGAAGGGAACAACTGACTGAAGTCACTGCCATCCCTAGTTCAGGCCCATCCTGCCCAATTCCAACATGTCATCCAGTTGGTCGCCCCTTTTCCATGGAAGGGTCTTATTGCCAGCACTCACCATGGGTTAATGCAGGTCCCTCACTGGCTCCATTCTCTGTTGGGCTTGCCGACCTCCAACTTCAGTGCCACCGTGGCTCTGTGAGTCGAGGTGATGTGAGTTTGGGCCACTCTGGCGAGAACACTGTAACCACTAATCTTAGCTACTCCAATGGTAGCCCCAGGACTGTGTGTTTGACCAGCTCTTTTCCCTTTAGTTTCTTCCTGGGTTGAGAGAATCCATCTCCCTCTGTCTAGACTTCTCCAGGCTGTTTTATTCTGGCATCTGAGTTGTCTGTCTCATGGAGCCTTGGTATCCTGCTGCTTATTGATCTGTCATCTTTTGCATCTCTCCAAAAATAATCTTATTTTAAAGCATGATCTGGTTAATGTTTCTCTTCATTTGAGATGATTATAAGATATCTAGAATTTAATGTGAAAAATACAATACTAAATATATATGTACAAAAATATGTATTACAGTCCATATGACAAAGCTAATTGATGGCAAGATCTTTAACTAAAAGCAATTAATACTGAAATACTGCCTGAATTACATATAAATCCACTGATAAATGCGAAGTTAGTAGAGTTAGACAAATGAACAATTGAAGAGAGAACAAAAATGGATGTGAACTTAAATAGTTTATATGAGAATTATTTCAGAATCAAAGGATGAAAAGCTCTTGGGAAAACTAGTTACTTTTTAAAGTATTTTTGCAACACTAGATCTAGTTTAGGCTGACTTATAATTTTATACAAAAATTCATGTCCTGAAAAATCAACATTTGAATCATCTTTTTTATAGTTTATAGGTGAAATTATAGTTTCAGTTTATAGCTGTAATTACAGTTGAAACTTTGTTTCTAATATACTACCTCAATTTGATGTTTCTCATTATTTTGATGAAAAGTATATTGAACTTTTTCTGTTACCAGTTACTCTCTAATAATAAAGAGTTTTCTGGAGGAAAACTACAGCTGTGAGTTTTCTGTCACCGTTACTTGTGTAGTGAATGTGTCTCCTTTGGCCTCTCGATTTAAACACAAATTATTTATCTCTTCAGAATATTTATGGAAAACAGATATTTTTAGTTCTGGCCACACATTAAAGTTACCTGAAAAGTCTCTAAAAATGCTAACGCTAAGTAACAGGCCTACAACCGTTAAATCAAAATCTTAGGAAAAGTAGAGCTTGAAGTGAATTCTCTTTTAAACTCCCCTGCAGATTCTAGTGAGTGTCACTGCTAGCACGTCAAAAAAGCGTTAAAGCTGGGGGTATAAGTTTTGCGTCTAAGGAAATGGGTGATGTGTCTCCTGACCACTTTTAGGTGTTTCCTTATATAAATCAACTTTTAAAAACTAGTAACAGTATTAGATCTTTGTTGACAAAGAAAAACCTTTTATGCAAGACACTTTACTTCTGTATCTGAAACTGGGTGTTCCATTTTTTCTTCTATTTCCTACCTTTAGAAAAATCATGTGGTGCTGTTTATATTTCTGTGTGGTTGAAGGACTGACAGACAAGTCGTTTACAAACTGATGACATCTTATGCCTTCTGATCTCTTTGGAGCCTCATCTCATCTTGCATCCTGTGCTAGCCACACAGATGTACTTTTGTTTTCTAAATAAGTGGTACTCATCAGGGCATAATGCTTTTGATGGCTTTCCCCTGCCCTTGGCTGTCCTATTCATGTTAGTTGGTTTTTGCATTGTTAGGACAAAATACCTGCCACCTTCCAGAAGTGGCAGGCTGTGACTTGTGGTTTCAGAGACTCAGTCCATGCTTGGCTGGCGCCAAGGTGGAAGCATCATGACAGAAAGGATGGAGCAAAGCTGCTCAGTTCATGGTGGCTGAGAAGTAAAGCTGGGAACAGCACCAGAGGTTGAGGCCAGGGACCAGATAAAACAACCAGAATTGAATCTTCTCAATCATGTCAGTTTTTCTATGTTTGGAATAAGCTAAGGAGCCTCATATCTGAATTTGAGGCCCATCTCAGCTGAACAAAGAAGTTCATGTGAAACGTGAGACATCAGCAATAGCTAAGGTGGATCCACATGCAGCAGGCAACTTCTTTTTCATAATATCACTTCCAGGCATTAGTTTCAATCAGTGAACATGTTCAGTTGCAATGGTGTAATTTTTCATATCATTTCATTACATACTAAGTGGACATTGTCTGTTAGACATCATGTGCACATTCCTTTTATGCACAAATAATGCCTCACAAAGGGATTTGTAAGAATTAGAATTTTGTGTAAATCAATGTTGGTTACTAGAAAAGTCTTATTTGTCACTTCACTGGTTTATAGTTTATAGTCTGACTCACAGCTCGTTGCTGACCAACCTTATTTGCAGGGGTTGTGGGACAACCACCGTGTTATTTTACTTTTTTGTGTTTATATATGTGACAAAACCTAAAGACCACAGAATGTGGTTTGTTAGAGGTGATGGAATGAAGAAAAGGTCCAGGAGATCAGAAGATTTATTCATAATGGAGTGGGGAAAATGTACAAGGATGTGACTAAAGGAACTTTCTAGAAGGGATTTTAACAGAAACCTGTGGTGATACCTCCTGTAATGCTAACACTTGGGAGGCTGAGGCAGGATAATTTCCATTAGTCTGAGGCCACCGTGAACTACATATGAAACCTGTCTCAACAACAACCAAAAATACAACTAAGTATTCAGTATTTATTTTGCTGATAATCTTGAGTGTTAACTTTCTTTAATCATGAAGATCATTATTAAAATGTTAAATGTGTCTTACATATCAGTTACATGACACAGATCAGATTTTGCAGTATCTCTACTACACCTCCAACATTTTCCTGTTAATTCAGCATATTTAGTTTATATCCTTATTACGGTTTGGGTCTAGATGTCGCCCAAAGCCTCATAGATACGGCTTTTTCAGAGGTAGCTGAATATAGAGTGTGTCATTGCTTCATGGTGCAAAAATGCTAGGATTAATGATACTGGGATTGAGGGTGGGTGGTTGCTGGATCGGTCCACTGATTGGTTTGGTATCACACTAATCCTGGTAGGTTATGAAAGGGGCAGGTTGGTTTGCTGCCTTGTGCCCTCCGTGAACTATTTCTACTCTGCAATAACCCTCTGCCATGCCACTCTGCCTTGAAGCCACCTGATTATGGACTGGAACCTCTACAGACTGTGAGCCAAATAAACCTTTCCCTCTGACTTGGGGTGTCCGGCATTCTGTCCTAGCAATGAGAGAAATGTAACTAAGACAATTCTGTAACATACAAATGTATTTTCCTTTCTCACGCTTGTTCTGCCTTCTCTATATTCTGTGTTGCAATAATCTCTCCTTGTTTTCCTCCCTTAATAGATGTGCATATTTGATTGTAGAGGAAAGTTAAAAACACGAGCTGATTAAAGACATGTTTCTTCTGTAGTGGTTATATACTTAATGTAGCCAGTGAGCAGTTTTTTTTGTTTTGCATTTAATGTCATTAGGACCCAGACAGGCCTCAACAAAAGGCACTAATCTGCCACATGCAGCATCTTCTGTCTGCATTTGATTCCAGCTGTGACTGGGATCTTTGTGCTGACCTCATCGGGAAGGTTAGCTGCCTAGCAAGTTTAGCCAACTGTAATCTAAACCAAATGAGTTTGTATACAGTGTCAGCTGTATACCAGAAGACCAGATGATGGCCTTGTTGAGAAGGAGGGGTCTGGCAGCAATGATGACCTCTAGTCTTCCAAAAATCAGGGTCTTTGGGCTCATCTGCTGATTTTCTTGAAGGAGGCCATGTCTCATTCGTCTCTTCTGAAAGCAACTTACCCGTAAAGTGATAACAAAGTGCAGTTTTCAAAATCTTGGATGCTTAATATTTGCAAACGATGTTTTCACAAGTGAATTAAATTGGTAAATATGGTATTTTCGGTGAAAGTCACTTATCGTTTTGTTTCTGCTGCTCATCAGATTTCAACCAGACCCTCCCAGAAAATGAGCTGTTTGTGTGGTTTTCTACATCGTCATCAAAGGTTATGCCCCCATTTGCCTCACTAACAGTCTGAAAGGTCTTTATAAACTCACAGTGATTTTTAAAATTGTGTTTGGATTAAGCTTTTTTTAAAAAAAGCCAATGTATTTAACAGTTTCTTGACTCTTACTGGAGTTGCTTTAGCTAAGATATTCTCTCTGATTACTAAGGTTTCTGATTCTGCTGAGGGGCAAATGGCAAGGGCAAGATTCCAGTGCTTTTCATTTTTATTTTATTTTATGTCTTTATTTTTTATTTTTTTGTTCTGGGGATCAAACTGCCAACCTTGCACTTGCCGGGCAGGTGCTTATGACAGAGCTAAATCCCCGCCTCAAGTGCTTTTTAAAATGTGCATTCTGTTGTATCATAAATCTTCAACTGAAACTTTTTTTCATGTTTTTTTAAATAGGCTTGGAAAGTAGTTCCCCACTATTGAAAAGGTTCTTAGAGGTTTTTTGTTTTGTAAACTATTTAAAAGTTTAGATTTTCTTTACCTATTATGAACTTTGCAAAAAAATCAGGCTTTTTAATCCTCATGGCTATAAGCCAAGAAGAATCATTCATTATGTGGGCAAATGACACATCAGAAGACAACTTTGGGTTCTTTTAGTCCATTTGTTCAACAGATACTTACTTTTTCTGATCTTCATGTAAGTAACTTACAGGCTACTTGAAATCATCTTGTTTCTCAGATAAATTTTTGGTTATTCACAGTTGATATGCTGTAGCTCTAAACAAATGGTTAAGTATCATCTTAACAAAAACAGTTCTGGCGTTATCACAAGCTTCCAGTTACTCATGAGTGGTAGATACAGAGCCCTGTCTGCATGAGAAATCATTCACTGCACACGTGGACAAAGATGACCTACGTCTGTTGTTTAATGCTGCTACAACTGGTTATATTGCCTTAAATGTTTTCAAAAGCGTTTTTCTTATTTATTGGCTTAGTATTTAGCATTAGTAGAATTTTAGAACTGGAAAGAATCAACAATCATAGTAGTGTAGATATCTTTCATACGTTTACTCAAGCAAAAGACTCCATTTATAGAAAATTAATCAGGCAAGACTATTGTGTTGGGACTCAGGATGATGGTTTCCTACCTAGAATTCTGGAAAGGGGCCTCAGAATTGGAATAGGACAGAAGAGGAACAACTTCCATTTGTGGACATCCATTAAGCTATGCAATTAAATTTGTGTATTTTACAACAAAAGCTCAAAGTATCAACAGTGGAGAGATAACTGGTAGCAGGACAGCCAGCTGCTGTAGTTAGGGCAGGGCATATAGGGAGGACTCAAAGATGAGAATAGAGGTGTCACAGTTCTTATCCAGTCACCTGCCACATTTGAGAGTTGAGGAAAGCTTTTCAGAGAATGAGAGTCAAAAATTACACAGCTGCTCATAAATAGCGTTTATTAACTTATACATGTATATTGAGCACGTACCATGTTGCAGACATGGACCAAAGCACTGAATATACTGGGATCAGAATGGCCAGGCAGACCCTGATCTCAGGATGTGTAGAATTCAGGACTTCAAACAACTCTTGCATAACCTGTCTGCACTCAGTAGACATTTGAGGTCGGACTTCCTTGATTCACATTACTCTTTTTATTTCAGAAAAACAAATACTTCATTTTTCTAGGGTACAGACTGACCTTTCTTCTCGTTGCATGTTTCATTATGTTGAAGGCACAGCGTGTTGAGAATTTAGTGTAGTTTGATATGCATTACGAGAGACCCTGGTCTTTCAGAAAGGCTGGGATGAGAACAGAGAATTCCTGCAGAGTGGTCCTATGGGTTTGTGGCTGGGTGCCGGGCATATCTGTGTGAGGAGACTCACATCACTGGACTCCAAACCTGTTACTTGATCAAGCACTCATCTGCATGTCAAAGAGGCTTAAAGCTATGGAAAGAATTAACTGGCCAGTATGTTTATGCAACTTTTCAGCAAAGGCAGTTGAAAAGAAAGTTGCCCTGACTGAGCTGATTGTCTTGGAGCAGATATCTAGTGAAGTAATCATGTTAACATTATGTGACTCGGGTTATATGATATTTTCAGTGATCAGCCTAGTGGAAGTTTAAATGAGCAAAAATACAAACTAATCAAAAACAGTAAGTGAAACATCCCTTTTGAAACAGATCAACTAATCTTTTATTTATTTTTATACTTTTTATTTGGGTTAAAGCACAGTGCATATTCAGATTTCCTTCAGGATATATGAGCCATATTTTCTGTTGCACTTTTAAACCAACAATATTTCCAGTTGTATTTCTTCCCTTTAGGACTAATTAAACATATTTGTTTTTCTAGGCATTACTCCCAAATCTGCAAGTGCCAGCATATAAATTCTAATTTTATGTTCCAAAAAAAATCTAGGCTTTGAGATCATAGAATCTTTAGTAGGAAAAAAGCTCATGTATGAGAAGGTGCGTGAGGTCTTTGTTGAGAGGTTAGCTTCCTACATAGTCATTCTAGAAACAGGTGCAAATTCCAGTGAAGTTTCCTTCACTGTTATATAAACAAACATCTAATAAACTCAGCTTCAATTTTAAAACAGTGTTTCAGCTGGGTACGATGGCTCATGCCTATAACCCAGCACTTGAGGGGCTGAGGCAGAAAGATTGCTACGAGTTCAAGGCAAGCCAGAGTCGCATAGTAAGTTCAAGACCAGCCTGAACTACAGAGCAAGGCCCTGTCTCAAGCACTGCCCCCAAAAGTAAAATAGTATTTCAGAGGGCAGAAATGTACTAGTTCAGACCCCTTAAAGTTTGCATATTTTATTTCATTTCTGTTAATGTCCTTCATATATAAGATGATCTACCTCCTCAATATTATGAGATAGCTTGATTTTCAAGTTCTTTCAAACTGAATTATGACAAAATAATACCCGTCATCATTTGCCCTCAGAGTAAATCTGAAGTTCTGTGCTAGTAATGGTACACGGGGAACCCCCATCTCATAAGGTAATCTGGTTACAAACTGTACGTGAGGCAAATACTGTGTTGAGTCAAAATGATCCTTGAAAGCCAGTTAAACTGCCCATGAAATCCACCAGGCTTTCCTGTTGTATTGGTAACATCACTTTGAGCAACAGATAAGACTACATTGAAGGAAAAAATACATTTTGAATGCTAGAAAAGCCTCTGGCATGGTAAGATCTCTACAGAATCAAATTAATTGGAACCATATCTACAGAAGGAACACCTAATTTGATATCTTATCTCTCATGTTCATTATCAGGCCTAGATCCACTGAGGGGAGCGAACAGGAACAGCAGGTAGAGTTTCCCACCCTGTGTCACTGGTTTTTATTTCTTCCCCTCTCTGTCTAGCTGAATTTAAGTTAAAAAGCATCTGAAGAGTGGTATCCCATGTATCTGTGAAGGCCTGAAAGGTCTTTTCTGTCAACAAACTTGAGAAAATACGTTGTCAACTATAGGGCTAACCACGTGAAAACTGTACTTGTGATGAAGGGGAGGTGTTACCCAGCTCTCCTAGTGGATACAATTGAGTATGGAAGTCATTCACGCATGTTTAAATATATGCAGATCATGTTTAATACTATGCTGAAGTGTAGTTTGGTTAATATAATGTTGCAAGTTTACTTCCTCTTTAGAGGAACATTACATACTTGACATTGATATTTTGGTGCTTGTCAGTAATGGGCTCTGGGAGGCACAGAGTACCAAAAATGACATGTGCCAAACTGTTCTGGCTGAAAAAGGTAGACAGTCATTAGGCAATCAACATGAAGTTCTAGCTCATGTGACAAGTACTAAACAGCCAACAAGCACTGGGACAAACTTTTCACATAAAAATTCCTGAGTACCAAATTCAACGAGTTTCAAAGCAAAGTACTCTGGTGTGACTGTATATGCCTAGAATTAAAGAAATTGCTTTTGATCAGACTGAAATTATTGGGCACATTTTCCTTAAAATTTAATTTAGGTCCACACATACACCCTAATGTATATATGCTGGCATCTTTCCTAACATTTTTAATGGCTTTGCTTGAGTACTTCTGGGAATTTGAAAGTTCTTGTTTTCATGGTTCTGCAGTCAGTGTGTTCTCAGTGTCTGATGGTGGTAGTGTTGGGATACGTCCTAGCGCTAACGCTGGGCTCATTTTTAACTACTGTCTCTCCTTCCTCATACGAGGATGCCCAGGACAGTTGGTTTTACGCATCCTAAGTCTCTTAGAGGGTCAGGCCTGGACTATGCAGAATCCTCTTGTGTTTTTCCTTTTCTTTCCCAGTCTGGTCTCCATCTAACCCATTGCTGACCTTAATAAACACAAGTTAGCTCAATACTCTTCTACGTGAAACCATTCATGGGCTACCGTGTACATCGGAGCCAACCCTAAACTCCATTTCATGGGCCACGAAGGACTTGCAGACTCACAACTTTGCTTTCTCCTCTTTTTTCCTAATAACCTGGCATTCTCTTGCATTCTGGTCTTCTTACTGTGTCTCCTGATCAACACTCCTGTAGTAGGGCTCTTGCTCTTGTGGTGCTTTCTACCTACATTCTCCCCCGCCCATAGTTTTGCATGCCCTGCTCTCTTTTGTCGATTAATTCACCTTTAAAAGGCTTTTGTTGATCTACCATATTTAAACAAACCCAAGAACCCAACCTTCCACACCTTTATATTTGCCAGCTTTCTCATTGCTGGAACAAGTACCTAACACCCACAAACCAAAGGAAGACAGGTTTATTTTGCTTCACAGTTTCAGACGTTTAGTCCATCGTCAGCTAGCTTAAAGGCATGAACATCACGGCAGAAGTGTTTGGTGGAGCAAAGCTGCTGACTTTATGAAAGTTAGGAAACACAGTACAGGGGAGCAGCACCAGTGAAAGACACACCCGCAAAAGGCCCACCCCCAGTGATCAGCCTCCAGCGGGGATCTACCTGCTAACAAAGCATTTTGCTGTGAACGTCAGTAGTTTCATCCACTGATTAGTATAGCTCCCACATGATGCTCTTCAGGAGTCCCTTAATCCAGTCCATCTGACAATTAATCTTTATTGGCACACCCTCCAACCCCTATTTCTCCCTTCCTGTATTGCACTTCTACAAGCCTAAAAAGATTTTGTGTATTTAGGTACTAGCTTTTTGTCTGATTAATCCATTCGGTACTCCTCTATGCTGTATTGCCCCGACCATATGCAGCTACTTAAACTTAAATATAATCAAAGTGAAATAAAATTTAAAGTTGAGTTTCTCCACTGCAGTAGTCTACATTTCACATGCTCAGAGGTTACAACACATGGCCAGTGGCTACTGCATAGGATAGCACACATGTAGAGCATTCCCATAAACCGTAAGTTCTGAGCAGCACTGCATTACAGTGGGAGTGCCTTGGGGGCCCAGAACCTTGTGCACTTGCTCTTCGGGAGGTCCAGTGGGAGCGGCTGACATGTGGTACCCATAGATGCTGAGTGGAGGGGAGAGTTAAGGAAGCAAGGAGACCCTTACATTTGGAGAAAACTACCCTCTTGCTTTAGTATTTGTCTTTAATCCCTTTTTGTCCCTAAATAGATTTGAATTTCAGGATTAAAGAAATTAAAAAAATTGTTTTAGTATGTAATGGGAAGCTTGGGAAATGTTTAATCATTGGAGTGGAATCTCTCAAAGTCCCACCTTTCACCTTGTCTCCTTAGTGCCTCACGTGGGTGTTACAGCCTTCAAATAAAATCTTTGTCTCATTTCCAAGAAGAAACCGAATTTTTCCTAGTCTCTCTTTGGCATGAGAAACCATTTTTCTTTATCTCCATAATGTATGCACACTTTTTTTGCTAACACCAAAGCTACAGTTCCTCAGAGTTAGACATAAGGAATGTCTTTGCCTATGAGTTGCTATTTCTGCTGTATTTCTAAGTTTACCTTGTGAGAAACCAGACTTTTAGAGTCTTGACAGTATATGAACTTGCAGTGCCCTGTATCACACTGGATTGGTGAAATCTGCTGCCCTGTACAATTATTGCTGAGTGTTGATTAAAAGCACAACTTTCCTTCTGGCTTGCTTCAGGGCTAATACCCTTATAAATTGTTGCTATGAACTTTTGAACTCAGAAACTTCTGAATATATGTAATAAGTAACATAATCTAAGGCTGAAAATTTGCGACTTCCCTGAAACAAATTTTTAAAAAATTTAATTCTTGGTTTTTTAATGATTTCTCATCATTTAACATTTCAAAATTATCTGAAACCTTTAAATACTTCCTATAAAGTCCTTAATTCCTCAATTACAACTGTCTAAATAAAAATCATAACGTAGATAGCAGATTATCTTCAGATAAAATGTTTTTTAAAAACAGTAATACATCATTTTAAGACAGAAAAATGATTTTAAGCCACACTAATTTATGAATCATTTTATGAAGTAGATGTAGAAATGTATTGGTTTGAGCTACTAAAGAATGTCAAGATGTTCGGTGTTTTTCAAGTAGGTTTCATATCTAATGTCTTGCTTCCCTGAAACATGAGATTTTTAGCCCTGCAATAAAACATAATTTATAGATCCATTATGACTTTCTCCAGAAAACTTAATAAATTAGTGAATACTTTTATTTAATAAGACATTATGAGAGAACTATAATAACCATTAGTGGAAAGTCTTGTTTTATTTTTAACTGACAAAGGTAAGGTGTAGTGTGTCTTTAAAAGCTAAATGATAACAGTGCAAGAATCTGTAGGATTGAGGGCATTTTGTTCTATAATGTGGGTTACCAGTCACAAACAATACTGACTTCAGCTACCCAAAAGGAGGGTCTCATGCAAGATTCACGCGTTCAGGGTATGTGACTGCTGGGTTTTAAGACTACACAGTCAGAGTGGGTTATTTGCACTTTCATGAAGAAGCAGGCAAACCTGGTCATAGGAGGACCTGAAGCTTTTAAGCATTTCACATGTCCATAGCTGCATCAGTTAAAATGAATGTATAGAACCACGTTATACCTGGGGATCTTTGTTTATCCTGACAGGTGACAACCTGCCTGGGAAACCATTTCATGCTTTCTTATGGAGGGAAGCTGGGGATGCGTAGAGCTGAATAGGAGCTGATTCGAACCAACTGGTTCCCACCACTTCTGCAGTCTGGGACCACATGTACTGTACTTTCTGCCTCAGGTGTTAGAGTCTTCGGGTGATGTGCATTGTGATCTTTGCCCTACTGGTTGCTTGGTCTGTGAATAAATGGGTATTGTTTAATTTATGTATCCATTTTCTTAGGTCTAAAATGAGCATTAATTGTACCAACTTTGCAGAGTTATAAGTTTTAGAAGTTGGGTGTACAAACTAGTTGGCCCATGGAAATTGCTCAAAAAGCAGTAACGTCTCTTTAGCTTTATGATATTTATTGGCTGGGACTCAACTTGGAAAATAGTTGAACTTTGATTTTCTGGACTACATTCAGTTAGCATTTAAGTTTTCCTTTATAATGTCTCTAAATATACTCCATGAAAAAAAAGTATGATTACATGTACCAGAAGTCCTCATTATCTATGAATACTGGGAGAAGAAAAAAGACCACTCAGCAAATGAAGCTAGTAAAACTTGAATCATATTTTCATAAATATTTTTTAAAAACAAAATTACAAATAAATCACACAATTGGAATTTGTCTTGAAAAACTAACCTGAAATTATGAAAATAAGTTCAGTAATACCTATGCTTAAAACATTTAAGTTATACCTTTGGAATGAATTGGCAAACAATTCTTTCACAAAACTATACCATCATATTTCCATGATGTGTTTGACTTTGTTTGGTTTTTGACTTTGCAGTACATGAGTCAATTTTCAAAAAATGTTCTTGGGCTTGAACAATTATCCAGTCCTCTATTTTTCCTTTTGATGGTCAAATTATCTTTATTCATGTCTTTCTGAAATTGTTACAATGTTTCTAGTGATCTGATATGTTTTTCAGTTTTTCATTGTCACTTTCTCTGACTTCATCAATCTATGTCTTTGCATACTTTTCAGTCCCACTTCAAATCTACTTGTATTTTATTTGTATTGCACTGAAGAGGGTTTGAAATCTTCCACACTGGTAAAATTCTAAAAATGTTAATTTAATGGATACATAGCAATGCTGCTATAAGTGGGAACAGGGGTGTCTTTTTAAAAACAAACAGTTCATGAATATTTTTATGTTATGATGACTTCTATATCCCTGTGCAACCTTAAAACTGTGGGAAATTGGATAACCAGAACTCCCTGTGTAGAATTACTGTCATTCCCTCTGTAGCACGCCGTCCTGTCGTAAAGGTCCCCAGCATGATCCTCTGCAGCATGTTTATCCATTCTGACCCCTGGGCTTTCCAGAACAGCTTCTCTGTCACCATCATTTTCACCCTCTGCTTCCATACCGCCAGGTCCTGGTGACAGCCCAAATGAAGAAAAGGCAGGAGGAAATCATCCGCACTCTTTATCGGCATGATCAACTTTTAACTATCTATAAAACTGATTAAATAAATTTGTAGAAAAACATTTGTTTAGAAAAAGTGGCTAATGATAACAACTACAAAAGAATGTAGTAACTAAGTAACTTGCTACTGCGGAATGGGTTCCAGTGGACAATAAAAGAGGGAAAAATATATGAAAGTGTTTGAAATTCCAGCTGCAGGGTCCTGAATTTCTAATCATCACTGACCTGAATATACTCAGTGATTTTGATTATCTGATTAGAGTAGATTATCTGATTATAATCAAAAGAGAATAATGAAAACAGTAACAGCATCTGGTGAGCACTTTGTTTCAGCCACTATTCTGAAGACTTTGACTGTATGTCTCACATATCTTTCTGGCACCTCAAAGTGCCTGTCGTATAGGGAGGACACTGAGTCTCTGTCACGTAAATGCATGTGGAGTGGAGGTAATACAGGAAAAGTCTGACAAGACGTTGAGAGGTCATGGATGTTGTGCCCACTGACGTACCAAGACCTGGAACTACAAAGATGGTCATTATGACTCACGTGGAGTGCACTGGAGATCCATGAATCTGTTTTCTGACCCCCAAGAATGGAGCAAATGGAAATGATGGTGAAGAGCCACATCTTTCCTCTGTTGAGCTCAGAACTATCAAGAGAACCACAGTACTGACTTGAAGAGAATTTTAGTGGATTAAAAGGGAAAATTAGAGGCTTATCAGTGTCAGTGTATGCAATGTTTAAAGTTACAGAACTCCTCAGAATGTGTACTGGTTACCAGGTTCTGAATCAGATTAACTGGGGAGGAGCGAACTGGGGACTGTCTGCATTATACTAGCAACAAAGAACAGAATGTGCCAAAAACTTAGTTGGGGTTTGATGAAGTGAATCAGAGGATCCAGTGAGGTTGAACTCAGCATGAACCACATTAAGTGCCCTTGGCAATGTCCTCTTTTAGAATGATATCAGGATAACACACACACACATTAATACAGCAACATGTGACCCAGCTTGCTTCACTTTGAGGAATGAAGTTTTAGAAAAATTCTGTAAGGTCTCTGCAACCATACCACCCTGAATGAACCTACTCTTGTCTGAAAAGTTTGGTAAGAGTTGGAGTCCCAGACAAAAGATATGGTCAGGGGTGAAGGCGTCTATGTTGGAAACAGTAAATTGAGCTTCCAGGTACCATGATCCCTTGCTTTTTTCTCTGACTTGGTTGTGCTTACTGCTGGTAATTCAAGTATAGTTACATACACATGTTACCCTGCCTTTCTTATACTCGCACTGCTCCTGGGAAGGAAGTTGGTCTGGACGTGGCAGAGCTCCTTCTCCTGAAGGCTGTGTGTATGGTGGTCAGGCATGAGATAGGCTACCTTTGTCATCCCTCACCTGGGAATGTTACACCTAGCCTAGTTAAATTATTGTTTGTGAATGTCATAGTAGAAGGCACAGTTAGCCATAACTTGAGATCAAGTTTTTTTTTAGTGTCAGATTTTTTTCATTAATTTTATTTCACTTGATTTTTTTTTTGTTTCTTCTCTGGTCTTACTCAGGAAGCTCCAGAGGGCTGAGAACCTTTCCATCCCCCTGGAACTTCGACACAACCTCAACAGGCATCTGACAGGTTTGAGGTTGGAGCACCTTTCCACCACTCTCCAGGAAAGGTCACTGCCCCTGCACGTGTTTGCTGCTAATGTGCACAGCCTGGGCCCCTGCATAACTGTGCACTAACACCTCCTAGTAGAGGCTTCAGAGAGGGAGAACGGCCCTCATGCCCCAAGGTGACCAACTCTTACTTTACTTTCAATAAATTTTAAAAGCATAGTAGGCAGAATAACACAGAAGAGCTAAGTCTTTTACCCAGCTTATGCTGTTAGAAAGCTGTGCGGCTTTAAGCTAGTCATAGGACTTTCCATATCTTTTTTTTATCATTTGTAAGCTGATACAAATGTACTAGACAATCTATAATTTTGCAAATAGTAGTGCTCAGTAGCTTTTCCAAATGCAAGGAAACACAGGAGAATAGTCATAAAAGACACATACAAAGCATTTGAGTAAGTCTAGAGTTTGAACATGAATCTCAAAAGACTGTATTGTTTGAATCGGTGGTTTTTCTTTCCTTTGGCATCCTGGCTACTCTGTTGCCCTCCTCTAGTCCTTGAACTGTCTCATTTGGTTTATATACTGTTGTAAAATACTGTCTTCTTTCCTTCCTCAGTTCTGTCTAGACTCTTTAGAACCATGAGCAGCTAAATATTTTAGAATGATAGCCAATTTGCTGATACATGATATCCCCCATAATGTCCTACATTCATTTTAAATTATTAAGCTATTATTTATTTGCTACTTAATGTTGTACAGGGCTAAGGATTTAGCTCAGTGGCATAAGCACCTGCGTGACAAGCACAAGGTTGTGAGTTTGATCCCTGGTACAAAAAAAATTTTTTTTTGCACAAATGAAGTGACAGGTACAAAAAAGAAAGTGAGGCTTGTCTTCATAGGATATAGTGGAAATAGAAACCAAAGGCTGCTATCAGACCTGGAGAAGCTTGGTGTGACTTTTCACAACTGCTTGTCAAGAAACAGAACTTACACTCAAAGACAGTGCATTTAGAATTCTAGGATTTGGCAAAGAGCCTGTGTAGCACCTTCGCCTTGCAAGCAGAAGTGACTTTGTTGCTTGTGTTTATGATTTTAAGAGAAACTCTCTCACAAAAACCTGACAGCTATGCAGCACTACAACCTTGAAACTGGGTTCAGAGTTTCATTTGAGCACCATTAGCATCCTGTCCTGTGTGTGTAAGTATAAAAACACACATGTATAAATATACATGTATATAAAAGTATATGTTTCATTGTCTTTGAGAAACTCCTTGGAAACCCGAGACACAAAGCAGACCAGAGAGACCGGTCAGGTCTTCTGCAGTCAGTACATAGTTTAACTCAGGCCTTCCAGGCTCAAGTTCCTCTAGTCATCTTTACCAGATTTTGTCATCCTGAGAGATCATTATGAGGAATGTCAGATGTGTAGGCACCGCCTCATCCTCTTTTCTTATGATTCACGAGACCTTTCAGCCTTCAGCCGTCTGGGGGCCTCTTCTGCAGCACCTGCAGTCTCCAAGGTAGCAAATGGTTGCTGTGCACCATAGGATTCACCTGCTTGTGGCAGAGTACTTCTACTCCCAGCTCTCATGTTTTGATCTGAGGCTGCCCGGAGTCTGCCCACAAAATCTCCTTCACTAGGACTCTTCTTTTCCACACACAACAAGGAAAAGCACTTCTGAAGTCCTGATATGTACAGACTTTTTCATCATGACTTAATTCTCAAATTCTTTTCTCTCTCTCTGCCACCAGTTTCCTCCAGTTATGGAGTCCACTGTGTCTATAAGTCACGGATCTCTTTCTTCATCCACTCAAGGCCTTGCCAGCCCACTGCTTTTGGAGTCACACAAATTTGATAGGACTCTTAACTCAGTCCCAAACCAACCGGAACTGATTGAGTTATTCAGCCTTATTAAACCTTAATAATGCCTCACAGGGTTATTGTAAGGCATCAGGAAGTGAAGGATGAAGCTCAGTACCAAGCTTAATAAATCTTAGTTCCTTTCTCCCACCTGGGGCTCTTGTCTACATCTCCAAGGGCTTAGCACAGTCATATAATTAGCAACATTAGTATATCTAGAAGGCAGTTATCATTTAATTGCTGTGGCTCTTGCCACCCTGGAGTTCTTCATTCACTTCTAGTTTGGTACGAGGGGCTTTTAGTTCTACCCTGGCTGACCACAAAATCACCATCTCAGGGAGGATTGAAAATAACTTTAGGCAATCATTGATTATAAAGTCAAGGGTTTGATTATCTCTTCCATTTGGGTCTATATAAAAATGCAAATATTAATTTTCTCCAATGAACAAATCAGTTTCCAGCAGTGTTTTTCTGTGAGTCAGCAAATTACCTTACTTGGATAGATCAGTTCTTTTCTCAAGAAGCAAGCTCTCCCTCCATGCTTGGTTCTGATCTTCATTACAATAAATCAGTGTCCTCCTATAGATTTGATTTGGAATCGAGTTTCAGGAATCTCTTCTTAAAAGACATTTGTTTATATTACATATTCAATTTGAAGGAGTAAATGCCTTCCTTCAGCCTGTGAAGTTTATCTTAGTGCTACTGTGAGAACATAGTGCCCAAATGAAGGTGGTGTGTTTTTTGTCTCCTCTCAATCATCACATAAAGTCACAGCAGTCTTTAATCAAGATGAGTCGAAGTTACTTTGAAATTTGATTTGAAATCTTTAATATTAGAACTGTATATATGCATTTGAGGAGATCTAGATTGCCCTAAGCAAACGGAAAGCCTTTATGTCTAAGCCACTTTGCATGGATTGCAAGTTCATGTAAATTCTAAATAACTTTTAGCAGTTTGAGATTTGGAAAGTAGCCTGGGCTATATAAATTCTCCTTTAGTTCTCTTGCTGTTAAATTTTATGCCAAAGTAAATGAGGCTATTGGGAACCTTTGAACTCCTCAGTTCTCAAGTGACCTCAGCCAGGTTGGATTGGCAGAGCCAGGGTTTGGTTTTCAAGGGAGGATTTTTCCATTACCCCTTGAAGTGTCATGCTTACCTTCCATGGTGGAAGATGCCGCTTTACTCCCTGGACCTACTTGGCTCCAGGTGGTGTCTGTGTCTCTGAGAAGCAGGATTCCTGCTGTCAGGAGCAACAGTGCAGCTGTGGAGATCGCCAGGGCTGGCATCGGGTTGCTCAGTCAGCCTTGCTTCTCTCCTTCCATTTCTCTCCCAGAATCAGCATTGAAAGCCAGTGACTGGTGCTTCATGCCACAGCTTGCTGGAGGCCAGGGCAGCAAGTGTTTTACCTTTTCTTGGCTTCAGATTTGTGTTTCTAAAGTGGTGATTAAATTAATACCACCCTCATGGATCCCTTTCTTCCTACACATTTCGTTCTTGCCCTCTCAACCATGTGGCTTATCACTTTTTTATGAAAATTTTTTTAACGTAAAAATCCTCTGTTTTACACAGTTACAGGATATGAATATGATATATATAATATGTGTGATATACCACATGTTCTTTTTACTTGACTGTGACCTCTGTAAGTTGGGAACAATGATTTACATTCCGTGTGTCACATTAAAATTGAGGCCATCCTGGGGACATAGTAAATTCTTAGGAAACAGTTCTTTATCCTTCTGTGTTGTATTTAACAAAAGAAAGTCTTTAGCAGTCACGCAAATGTTCACAAAACTTAATTGCATTCCCCTGATACTTTAATACATGCAGTTTCACTAGTGTAAAAATAACCCGAAGGGAAAAAGGTGATGCAGAAATCTAGCACTTTGGCAATAATATAAAACCATGTGATATACTTGATAATTCTTTGAAAATTAAATGTTAATATAAGCTTTTTTGGGTTTTGCAGACCATTTTCTTGTTGTTGGTGGTGCTGTTTTGAGAATGAGTCTTTCTATGTAGTGCAGGCTGTCCGTGAACTCACCACGTAGCCCAGGCTGTTCTCGAACTCATGGCAGAACTCACAGCAGTCCTCTTGCCTCAGCATTTCCAGTGCTAGGATTACAGGTGTGTGCCCCTATGACCAGAAAAACATGTCTTTACAGTTAGCCCTCATCTAAAAATTCAATGTTGTTTTCCATAATTGTTGCTACTTGAGCATATTGAAGAAATAGCACCACGTAGATGGTTTCCTCATTATCCAAAAATTAAATCTTAAATTCAGGTAGCTGTTACAGTTTTGATATGGTTTGATTATGTGCACAAGTGTTCAATATTGGAAGCTTACTCCACACTATGGTGCTGGGATGCAGGAGAACCATTGAGAAATGGAGGAGGAGGCAGTGGGGGAGAGCTGTCCTAGAAGGAAGTAATGTAACTGTACATCCCTGGTTAGTGCTCTTGAAAATGTTAGTAGGACATTGTCATAAAGACTTGTCCTTCCTCATGGTTTCTCTTTGGCCACCTGTCTCACTGTGTGGTGTCTTCCTTTTAGTAGGCACTCGTGCCATTGTGATGCCATCTTTCATGCGGTCTTTACCAGAGCTCAGAAGTTGATGGCACCATGCCTTTGAGCCTCCAAAAATGTCTTTCTATTAAAAAGTACCTAGTCTCACGTATTTTGTTGTAACAATGGAAAACAATCTACTATAGAAAATTGGTATCTCCAAAGGGTGTCATTGTTGTAAATGTATTTGAGTATGAGGAAGTGGCTTCAAAAGTAAGAGGCAGAGGTTGGAAAAATTTAGAAAAGTGGGCTAGAAAAAAATCCTAGACTTTCATGTGTGAAGTGAGAGGGCTGAGAAGGCAAATGACTGGAAATTAGTATCAGATGGAAATGGTGATTCTGTTGGATATTGGAGTAAAGGTCATGCTTGTGATGTGATTGAAAGAACTGGTGGTATCTAGGACCTAGAGTGCTGGTGGCAAGCATAGGGCACACATGGCTGCAGCAGGCTGTTGGTTATCATTGACAGCTCTAAAAGATTTTCCATCATTGACCTAGAGCTTTATAGAAGGTCAGATTTAAGACAATGATCCAGGATATTTAATGGAAGAAATTTCTGAACAGTAAAATATTCACCGTATGGCATGGTATTATTGGCTTTTTTAATCAGATGTACAGTGAGGTTTGAGCGCAAAAGGAAAATTCACAGTCTGGCCAGGGAAAGAGAGAAAACATTTAGGAGAACAAAACAAGGTTCCAGCCAGCTGAAGAGATTGGCATGGAAAAAGGGGAGCCATGTACTAAATTGTAAGATAACTTTCAGGGCACTTGGGAAAGCTTTGAGGCCGTTTCGCATCATCATTGGTAGCCTAAGACATGAAGATTCCGGGATCTATGACGTGCTCTCCATGGGCTTATTGCCCAGGATGCTCCATGGGGTCCTGTTCTTCACCTTCTAGTGAAACAGTCTGGCTGCAGCCATGGTTCAGATGCACTCAAGCACAGCTCAGGCTTGCAGAACACTTTGGTGTGCTCATGTGGTACTGGTTTTACAAGCACACAGAACGCAAGAGTTACAGAGTCATGGCAGCATCCAATTCAAAGGAAAGGCTGGAAAGCTAAGTAGAGGTCTCCTGCAAAGGTGGACCCAGAGAGATTCTCCACTGGAAAAATGCCTAGGGGAGCTGTGGGAATGGAGCCACAGCTGGGATGTCAGAAAGGTAATACAACCAGTTGTGTGTAAAGCCATCCTAGGAAAACTGCAGGCTTCAGTTTGCATCCCAAGAGAGCAACCAACTAGGCTGTGACCAGCAAAGCTGTGGGGGAAAAGGCCTCTGAGACCCTGGGGTACACCCTGTGCAGTGTTTACAAAGTATCAAACTTGGATCATCGAGATTTAATATCTATCCTGCTGGATTTTGTCCTTGCAGAAGACCTGTGACCCCTTTCTTTAGACATGTGTCTAGGAGTGTTTACTTTATGCCTGTCTGGCCATTGTATCTTAGAAGTATGTAACTTGTTTTTGATTTTACAGGCTCACACCTGGAAGTAAATTTCGGTGAGTGTTACATGAGTCTTCTGACTTGGACTTTTGAGTGATGCTAGAATGAATTAACATTCTGGAACTACTAGAGGTGGAAAAGTCATTTTACCTTCGGAGGTGGACATAAACCTTGAATGCCAGGAGTAGAATCCTATGGTTTGGATGTAGGCTGAACACATCTCCCAACGGTTCATGTATTTAGAATAGTTCCTTACCATAGCCACCATGTCCTGTTTGGTGCTGTCATCCTGTCCACCACATAACAGGGCCAGGCAACCCTCAGAAAAGGCCAAACAAATGGTGAAACCTGACTATAGATTTTTAAACCTCCAAAACTGTGAGCTAAATTAATTCAGTTTATTTATACATTAACCAGTATCTGGTGTTTTCATTATAGCACTGGAAATGGGCTGATTTAGTGGGCTTAATGTTGCCTGTCACTTAAGGTGTTCACTGCTCTGTAAGTTTACCCTAAGAAGTTGTTGTTCCTTTGCCTAAATGCTGCCAATACAGAGGCCTTATCACTGCCAGAGGCAGCCTTTTCCCATGTCAGGTAAGGCACCCCAATTGGATGGTTAGAGGACTCACATGAGGTACAGAAGTAAACACCCTATTTATTGAAAGAAAATACAAAAGAGTATTTGCCATTTAAAAATCTGCATGACTTGTATTCAGCAAATCCCTACTTTACAAACAAGATCCATTCCTAAATTGCATTTGTTTAGAAAACAACAAAATGAGTCTTATGCAGTACACCTGTGAAAGTTCGCAACTTGACTGTTCATAAGCAAGAGATTTTCTGTGTTACAAACTCAAGGAAACTCTTCTCAAAACAAGCTTATTTATAGACTAGTTGTGAATCATCAAGGGAGATGTAGTGACCCAAAAACAAAGATACGAGAACCAGTCACGCATAGTTTTGATTCTTAGGTTACTCTCTGGTCTTCCAATCACACTCAATTTGGGAGCAAAATTCCAACACAACATCTCGCTCAAGTTGGTGTTAAATAAATCATGGCCAGTATAAGCTTTATTCTTGTGTTATTACTCATCATTATTATCATTAGAAATAGGTGCCTGCTTGACTATAATAATTGACACTGACTGGATATTTCTAAGTAAAGACAAATGCAGGTGCATTTGGGACTCACATTTAACCACCTGCTCACATGCATAAACCTCTTATTAAACACATACTAAAAGTGTTAGCACTTGTCAAATACTGACCTTATTGTGTAGATAAAATATCAGCTAATTTCTTAACATTCTAATCTGTATTTTTTAGTTAGGCCAGTGTGCTTAAAACACTTCTTTCTAAAAAGCTGTGATTTGGAGTATTTTCCAGCTCTCATGGTTTAAATACTTCAGGAATGGCTGATCGCAAGCTCTCAACACAGTCACTGAACCCAGTTAGGAAGCGATTATGGCAGCTGCTCAGGTCAGTGCAGGTAAACTCCCTCAACACTGTTGGGTCAGCTTTTCATGTTGTGAAAGGAGGATCACAGGCAAATGCAGTAGTGGGAAAGTAGTGCTCCCCAAAGATGATGTTACCGGGTGATATCATAGCCAACTGTGATGTTCACAGAATAACAAAATCACGTAGCCAGGGGCTTCTCAGAACACGCCCATTGTTAACATATGACTGTGCTTTGTCATCAGGATATACTAAGAAAACAGGATTTGCCTAGAAAGTGAGTAAATGCCACATTACCTGAGCAGTACAGTTCAGTGCTGTGTCTCTGCCCTTTCTCTGTACTCTCTAACCTTACTTAAGAAGGAAATCTTTTTCCCAGCTTCTTATGTTCTAGGAAGTCTCTAATCACACCCCAGTTATTAAATGTTTCTTTCACCAACAACTTAGGCATCAGCTCATGGACATATTGCACGTATTTGTAGATGGGTCTTCGTTCCCTTTTTCCCATCTCCTCCTCCCTTCCATTATGCTCCTCCTCCATTTTTTCCTTCCCCACTCTATTCCCTTCCCTACTTTATTCACAAGTATTTTTTTTACCTTTTGTGTTTCTAACATTTCCATGAGTTCTTCAGAACAAGTAGTAGTATTCTTGCTTTACAAAAATGATAGGAAAACTAGAAAATTACTGTACCTGTCATATTATTTTTTATTCTTAATTTGATTTTTTAAATTTTGAAATCGTAACTGTTACTCAGAGAGCCCCTTACTTCCTTAACATTTTTTTTCCATAATCTGAGTGTTGTGTGTTCAATCTCTATTGATTTAATTTTATTCTCCCCCACCCTACCCCAACAGTGGTTGAAGACTATCATATTGCACCTAGGAAATTGTATTACAGTACTATAAATACATTTCTGAGAACTTGTAATTAAGTGATGATACCTAGAACTTTCTGATCATTGTTAAGTCCCTTGAGATGATAAAAAAAATTCTCTTGGGAAGCAGTTCTATTTTCAATAGCTCTACACTGTAGCAAGCAGAATTTTGTTACAGAGCATCTTTGAACTCTGGAGGATGATACCAGTTGATGCTTTTTTCAATGTGTTAGATTAAAACAAAAAACAGGTATTTTTCACTAAACACTTTTAAATTTTTCTGAAGACCTCATGATTTAAACTGTAGAGGAGAAGATATTTGAGACACTGATTGGTATTTGCCATGAAGCTCTCGGAAGACCTGCTTGAGATCATCTCTTGTGCCATCCTAATCTTTGTGAGCTTTGTAGGAAATGTATGTTTATTTTATTCTACAAGGAAGTGCATCGCTGGACGCTTACAGACATCATTTCTTCTGATTTTCAGCCTTGTGTTCGTCCACCTTATTAAGAACTTTGTGGTAAATGTCATGAAAATTGTTTATTCTTCTGGTATCACGTTGGATTCAGCCGGTTGCAAAGTTCTGCACTTCACAGCAGCCCTGACAACGTCACTGGCCATCTGGTTCACGTTGCACTTAGCACTGTTCTACCACCTGAAACTTTACCAAGTTGTCTACCCCTCGGATAATGCTGCAAGCCTAGACCAACAGAAACATTCTTTGAAGGGGATTTCTGCTCTTTGGGTGGCTGCCGTGGCTGTGTACGTACCAGTTTTAATTTATACTACAAAACCAGAATACCTGAAAGCAGGAAATGATACAGATGCCTTGTCTACGAAGAGAATTTACAAAGATTGCTTAATTATCTTCAGAAACAAGCAGGTAGAGTTTTACTATGGGAAAATCTTTTTAATGCTGATTGATATTCTTCCCTTAGCCATCTTAGTCTTTGTCTGTTTCTGGATGTCTTCCCTTCTTTCAGCAAAAAAGAAGATGACATATGGTGACATCTGGATTGGAGATGATGATTCAGAAATTGAAGTCCTGAGAGGGGCCAAGTGCAGCATAGTATTAACGCTGCTGATCACTCTGCTCTGGGTGTCCCACTCTGTCTTGGTCTATTTCTGGAGCAGCGTGGCAGCCTGTGTCTTCCTCCCCGCTGTCCTCACAGCACTGTCCTCCGGCTTCTCTGCTCTCAGCCCTTTCCTGCTGATGCTGGTTAATTACAGAGTGAAGTTGGTATCACTTTGTGGTGCCAAAGAGGAAAACTCCATACCACAGGCGACAAATACTATTTTTTCTCCATATGCTTAATGACCATGAACTTGATTTAAATCTCTGAAAAACAGAGCAGGGAGTTGGAGGACACACATAAAGGCTTCATAGCCCTCATCCACAGAATTCCTGAAAGGACTGCTAAAAGATTGACTGCTCTCTAAAGCAGACTTCTGTGGGAAACTAAGAAGACAGGAGAACACCAGGTTACTGTAAACTGACGAAAAAGTCATCACAAAGTTTGTAATTTAAGATAAAAAACTGCTGGCCAGGAACTTAGCTCAGCGGCATGTGCGCCTGCCTTGCAAACATGTGGTCGTGAGTTTGATCCCCGGTACAAAAAAAAAAGATAATGCTAAGATTTTTAATGTAAAATTTTTAAAGTCACTCAACAATAATCACCATCTGGAAATAAGCACAGCATAAACACTGTATTAAGTATTTGCTCTGAGTAATGTATTTTGTAAGAAACAACATGTTGTTGAAACTGAGGACAATACTTCCTAGGTAGATTCCGAGAGACACTCTTGAGTAATCTCATGTTCTCATCTGATGCTTTCCTTGAAATGCCTCCACACATGCTGGAAGTGCACTAGGCAGGGGTGCAGCTTTCACTTTCTGCACTTTTACTCCTAGCTCCTCGTGTACACTACAAGCACATTTTGTTCATTGTCCTTACCTTAAGTGTCTTTAGTTAATTAGGGCTACATAAAAGCATTAAAGAATTACTACTTGCTAAGTCTTATTCTGTATAGATATGGAAAATACTTGGTTGCTACAGACATGTAGTGTGTTATTCTTACTTAATCTTCAAAATATATATCACGTAATTTCCTCAGGAAAAGACATTTATCTTAATAACAGTTTATTTGATTATTAAATTGGTATGTTTGCACATAAATCCTAATAATTTGGTTTCTAGACTTGGATTCAATAAAAATAAGCATATTATACTTCTAATTAAAAAGTACATGGCCAGATTCTTATTTTTCACAGTTAACTAGAATAATCATTTGGACTGATTTGAACATAGTGAATAATAATTTTAAATATCTGCATACATTTGCATAATCATTAAATTTTAAGTTTATTCTTGTTAGATTCTTACACTTTTTCGTTTTCCTTCTGTGTTAATAGACTGGGATTTATTATACCATGGTTCTAGTGAATGGGTACCTTGAAATTGAGATTAATATTCTAAAAAGGCTATGCTGAATATTATAAATGTAGATCTCATTTACAGAAGAAATTTAAAGCATCTTTGTTGCTATGAAGTACTGCCTAGAAAAGAAATTTTAAAGTAACCAAAGCTCAAATGTGTAGGGTATCTGTTCTTTATATGGCCCAGGGATTTTTCTTTAAAGGCAGACTTAAGATCTTCTGAGGCTTCTGGGTGGTCTTCATCGGAAGTGCTTAGCCGAGTCCACTGAGGCGGTCTAATCAGAAGGGTGCTGGGCATAATGAAGTTAACATGTGGGGAGATGGAGGATGTGAGGAAGAGGTCACCGTTGTTTAATTAAGTGCAGCTGTATCCAGAGCTGGAACTACCCACAGATCTTCAGTAGTGCTTCTCTAGAGTGGTTCTGGGACCGGAACAACCAGTATCATCTGGGAACTCATTACAAATGCAGATTCTGGGGCCACCCTCAGTCCTATTGGATCAGTCATTCTGGGTGAACCCAGAAAACTACTTTCATAAGCCTTCCGGGTGATTTTCATTCTGTAGTCTAGTGTTACTCCAGACTTTAATTCCCACAAAAGATCAGAATGCAGCCTGCATGTGTGACTCAGGATGTCATCTTGAGTGTCACCTTAGTCTACCAGCATGGTGTGTACCTCTCACAAAATGACAATCAGGATTGCATTGGTGTGCCCTGCATATGGACAGTAGTTGACAAATAAGGAAATCCACTGCAGAAGTGAATCTTTACAGAACTGAGGGCCAAGCATGACCCCTTCCAGTGTGCCAAAAATTTGGGACTTAGACTTGGATAGTTTACTGTGCATAACTAAGAATCCAGCTCCCAGATTACCCCTTAGTTACTTTCAATAAGCCAGTGCAGGACAGGGTTGGCTTAATCCCATGATTCACCTCTCAGTGCTATAATCTTGCCCTTTTTTTCCATAAAAACAATATATTTTTGCTTGGGACTCATTAGATCATAGTTTGTCCTTGTGGAATTGATAAATTTTTATCTATAGCACAGAATCTTATGCTTACTGACTGAGCAACATTCTAGTTGTTTTTAAAATTATGTTTCTTTTCTTTTTGTTTTGGTTTTTGAGACACAGTCTCCCTATGCAGTTCAGGTTGGCCTTGAACTAATAGCAGTCCTCCTGCCTGGCTCCAAAAATTTTTCTTTTATTCTCCTATGCACTCCCTTCTCCTACCCCTTAACTTCTCTTTTATTAAACTTTCTGGTGGGATCAGGAGAGCAGATAAAAAGGAGATTTGACAAGAGATTGTCTTAGCTGAAGAGGGGTAAAAGTTGATCTGTCTGGAACTCAGGTATGGTTTCAGAGGTCTTTCTCAGTGGCATCTTAGAGCATGCAGAAACCCTGAGTTGGAAGGCCATAATTCTCCTTCCCAATGCAAGAATCTGGTCTTCCTCTCTCAGAGACTACCTCAACACCTGTCTGAACAGCTTCTTGCAGGGGTGACTTTGCCCTGGCAAGGCATCCTATTCCATCGCAGCCTAGTTGAATGTCATTATAGAAAGGTTTTGCTGGGACTAATGTCTCTGAAACTTCCAACAGGATCAACCCTTGAAATCTATTCCTCCTTTTACCTTCTGGATCATTATATTCTTGAGAGAGAGAGAGAAGGGAATTTTTCTCCTCCAGTTGGATATTTCCTTAGCTATACTACACATGACAAAGTTCTCAGCTTATGGGGCTGTGTCTTAACTTCTAATGTCGTCTTCGTACATTCTAGGTGACCTGGAACTCATTGTTTAAAGTGATTTGAAAACAACAAATGACACAGATGCATTGTTGCTTTACCATTGCAGTTGACCTGGAATGTAGCCTTCTTAAAAAGTGACTCCCAGAACTTAAAACAATGTATTTCTGTGTGTGTTTGCTTGATTTCATTTTTTGTCTATTTACATTATCATCTTTGTGCATCTAATATGACCATGAATTCTTTCTTTCTTCCAAAAAGAATTTTAAATTTTAAGCTCATTTCAAATCAGACAGACACAGAGACACAGAAAGAGAGATTAAGAAGCATATAAATACATGTATTTATCTTAGGCTTAAAAACAGATTTTTCCAAGCTCTGAGGCTCTAGGATTAGTTTATTCTTGGTATTCAGTTTTAGAGGTCATGAAATGACCTCCATATAACTTTCAAGAATTGCAAACTATAAATCAAGGCTCAAAAGATCAATTCTTATAGAATTTGCCAGGGAATCTTGATTGCTAGCAAGTTTTATAGTATAGTGTTATCTTAATTACCTCTTTAATACAGCTTAAGGAAGGATGATTATAATCCAGTTTTTGCATGATGATAAAATTGAAATATTAAACCAGCAGATTGTGCAAATTAATGATTATTCTAGACTACTCCAGGAATATCTATAGATACACAGAAGTCTATATACTTTCTTTTGGAGTTACAGTTTGTGAGAATCCAAGACAGTGCAGGGCAAGGATGAGGGTGTCTGTGGGATTTGATTTGATGGCTCAGAGACAGAGCCACATTTCAGAGAAGTCCAGGATGAGTCCAGAGACCTCTGGATCTGTCAGCAAAGAAGGATTTGTGTGGGCTGGATTTGCGTCTGCTAAAAATATAATTTTTGCCAGAATAGAACCAAGTAATGCTGTGGATGAAATAGAAAGGATAGGAATAAAAATTACAGATCTTTCTCTTCCTCCAAGAGTTATATCAATAAAGACAGCAATTATATAGAACATAATTTGGAAACAGAAAATGACACCGATGCAGTGTTGCTTGAGTTTTGCAATTTTAGCAAGTTGAAATAAGAAAAGTGTTAGAATGAATCTCTGACTGTCTATCCATGAGCAATTACAGAGCCTCTTGGAGTCCTGATTTCCTTGTCTTAATGATGGAAATTATAAAGATGCTTTTCCCCCGGGGTTCTTATGAAGCAAGGTAACCGAGAGAATATGTATGTGAGGGTATCCAGTTTTAGATCCTGGTGGAGAGTTTTCTTGATAGAATTTTCTGACTGTTCCCCTCAAAATAGCAAGGTGGAAATGCAGCAGCCTTTCCAAGAACTGTAGCAGGCTCATTATATTACACTATAATCTCTTTTTTTATGCCGGACAGTCACCTACATTTTTTTTCAAACGTACCTGCAAACCTGGTATTACGTTTGCACACAGGCTTTTGAAGTACTGCTCTGTTGACCCCTATCTATCACCTCACTGTGGTCCTCACCCTTCAGAATTCTTTTTAGAAGTAAAAATTCCGCCATTTCTCCTTCAGAATTCTCCCTCCAGGCTCCCAGGCTGTCCCCAGCCTGGAGCCCTTCTCCCAGCAAGGACTCCTTTCACATTCCCCCTCATCTGTCTTCTTTCAGCTTCTCCCTCTCCCAGGAGATTCCCCTGTCGTCAAGGTGTCTCAGGCTCATGTGCACTTGTCTTGGGGGTACCACCTTCTATGAGCAAGCTGGTTTCCCTGTTTGTCTCTCCTCATACCATCTGCCCAGCATGGCACAGAGCACATAGGTCGTATCTAATGTGTATCCCTCACTGCTCCAGAAGTAAAGTGGATAAATCAGCACAGCTTGTGCCTTCCCACCTTTCCTCTGTGTGTGCTTTTTGGCTCTCCTGCAGTTGCCTCTTTTGAGTAGACATTTCTTGCCTGTATCATTTTTCTGCTTCAGGACTAGGCATTTAGCAACTGCCATGCTTCTGGCCACTGTTGAATCACTGTGAAAGAAACTGAATCCAGTATTTGGAATGATTTGCTTCCTTGCCAGCCAAGTGAGTGAGCCAACTGGGGACAGCAGTTCCACCAAAGCCTTCCAGTTTTTAGTTTATCATTTTTTTTAGTGCTTCCATAGAAGAAAGTAAGTGCAGTATCTATACACCAGTATTTAAATTAGAAATGTGTCCTAGAATACATTTGGCAGTGTGCATGTATGTGCATGCATATGCTGGCATGTGTACATGTATATGTGTGTATATAAGTAGTGGCTATATTTTCTTAGATTTTGGTAAATTCAAGAATAAAGAAATAAGCTTATTGCAAATCAGAGTTACCTCATCACCAAATGTCCTCTGCTTATTTATTTTGACAAGTCCAGCTTATTTTTAATTACCAAGCCTCAGTAAATGGGTAAATGTAGGAATAGTGACTTTGGCAGGAAGAGAAAACAGTATGTAACCTGAGCCTTGAGAATGAGTCTCTACTAACTCTTGTAAAATGGAGTGAAGCAATATATTTTGAAAGGAATTTCAGAAGAGCAATTTATGTGATATGTGACTATACTCACAAATCAATGAGTCTTTTATGAGCCAAGCACACCAAAATGTATACATTAACATGAACATGGTTTCTCAAGGAAATTTTGTTGGCCACACCAAGCTTTTTCCAGTGATATGCTCCCATCATTCAACTGCTTTTTGGAAGTCGTCATTTGGAATTATTTCTCAAAGTCAGTTTTCAAGTCACAACCACCAAAAACATTTTTAAGTGTCACATGAAGATTGTAACACTGGTGGAGAGGAGGAAATCACTAAGTTCTATGATGCTGTTTGATTGTGTTACTGTCTGCCCTTTCCCAACTGATTCTTCCTTTGAAGGGAGCCATGGGGCCATCACTGATGTCACCACCACTAAAGTAGCAGCACTGAGAGAGCCCGTAGGAGCATGTGCCCCTCACAAGACTTTTTTTTTTTTTTTTGGTCTTTTTGAGACAGGGTCACACTATGCATTTCAGGCTGGCTTTGAGCTCACTTTGTAGTCCAGGCTAGTCTCAAATTATAACGATCCCCCTGCTTCAGCCTCCCGAGTACTGGGAATACAGGCATGTACCACCACACCAGGCCTCTCACATAACTTTAATGGGCACTGAGGGACTTCTGCTCTTGGCAGTTTATCAAAACTGAGTAGTAAGAACACTACAGACATTGTGCATGGTTAATACTTTTTACTTAGGTCTTTATCTCCTTAAGCCACAGATCAGTTTGGAAATTGGGTTAGGTCAGTGAAGCAAACCTTCAGAGCTTTCAGTGCTAACACCCCCTGCGACATACATGCTGTAGGTTCGCCACCACTGGTTAAGGTTTTACCCTTGGGAACTTCCCAAGAGGGGATAACAGAGATGTCACCAACAGCTGCTGTACACCACAGCACTTAGCCATCCAGGGCTTTGTCCCTTCATTCTAATATTTTCCCCTCCCTATCTTCTATTCAAACTAGAAGGGCTAAAAACCATTGAAAAACATTTTCTTTACCTTTCTCTACTCACCCACCCATTGGCTAACCTACACTTCTCTCCACACTTCAAAAAAAAAAAAAAAAAACCTCTTGAGGGGCTGGGGATTTAGCTCAGCGGCATAAGCACCTGCCTTGCAAGCAGGCGGTCCTGAGTTAGATCCCCAGTACTGATAAAAAAATTAAAAAAAAAAAACCTTTTGATCACACAGTACACCTGCCTAAGTAAATAGCAAATTTAAAATTGCCAGTGCAGTGAAAAGAAATGAAAAGCTTACATGATGGAAGAGGATGACTTTAACCAGTAAACAAATACAGTAAACAGATCTTGAGAGATGCATTGTGGAGAGAGGGCCTGTAGTACAGACGCCCTCGGGAAGCCTCAAGGAACCCATGACAAGTGAGCAGTTTACAGGGTCACGGCTGATGGCTTGGGGTGTGTGGAAACTTGTAAATGAACCAGCCCGGGTGAAGTGAACTGTGAGGCATATCAATAGTGATCTCATGTAAAGGATTGTGAGCCGAATTGCTCTTTCTAGGAAGCCTGAAAATTGGCTTTCACATAGCTGTAAACCTCTACTTGGCCTGAGTAGGGTCAGCCCTTTTGCCTTTACGCCTGCTGGTCTGAGCCAGCCAGAGGACAGCTTTGGTTTGGCTTCCTCTCTTTCCTGCTCCATCCCCCAGTATACTGGCACCATGTAAACTCGCACCAGCCACAGCTAGGCAAGAACCCTTCCACCCTCCAGTTGTTGTGTTTTACTGTGTTTGCAAAGGTTTTCCTTTTCTAGTACTAAGATAAAATGGAATGTGGACACACAAATGGTGACATGGTAGTTTATTTGTGAAACATTTTGTTTTGTTGTGGTGGTGATATGAAAGTTTAAAATGATCATTAAAATACAAATTTAATCTTAGGATATAAATGAAATCAACATTTTTGGCAGGAAGCTTAAATTTAAAAGATGGGAGGGTATTGATGGGAATAATTATTTAACACTGAATGCCGTGATAGGGTAAACACTGAAATGTCTCCAAGGCCGGCAGGGCATGTGGCTGACGCAAGTGTCAGCGAGCACCCAGTGAGTGGGAGACACAGGTGTGCAGGCAGGTAGGAGCAGCTGCAGCTCAGTGCTGGCCAGCTGCTGTCATGGGGAATGCAGACCTTTGCTGCCAGAACTTCACATATTTTTAAAGCAAAGCCCAAATTCCAGAATTTTATATGAAATCACCCAAGTCTACAAGTTGGCAACTGATTCGATTTTTTAAAAGACTGCTTTAAAACATAGAGCCAAACAAATTCCATCTGTGAGCCAGACCCAGCTCATAGGCCTCTGATGTGTGCCCTGTGTAGCTGGGCTTTCAGTTACAGCACATGTGTTGTCAGGAAAAGAAGGGGGCGCATTAGTTTCCATTACAGACTGGTGGGAGATGGCAGAAGAGCAGGATGAGAAAATCAGCCTGAGCCATCCAGCTCAGTTTCCTGTCCAGCCTTCATGTGCAGCAGCTGCCCTAACCTGACCTCGTTCTTTTCCCTCGGGCCTCAGAAGGGTCTGCCCAGAGGTGCCACATGCTCAGTGGAAGAGCAGCATGTGAAAGAGAGGGAGACACAGTGATGACCACAGGGACAACTGAAGGCTTTTCCTTAACTTCAGAGGAGCAGTTGGAAACGTGGCCAGCATTGGCGAACCACCAAGATTTCTCCACACTGTCAGTGACAGTATAAACCAGACCAAAGGAACTGCGTGGTAGGCAGAATGAGACATCTTAAAGGAGGCAGCTGTTTTATGGAGGTCTGTTTGAAAGTAAAGATCAGATGCTGTGGGCATTTGGCCTGGGGCTGAATCATGGAACCCATGTAGATATAAACAGCGGCCCAGGCCTCCATGATGAGCTGCAGCCCTTTTAACTCATGGCTTCCAGCTTACCCGATAAAGAGTATCACTGCCTTCCTCCAAGTGCAAATACAGAGACACTGTGCTTTGATGCCACCAGTTTTATTTTGCCCCAGTTACATTTCATTAGTGTCTACACTCAGATGAATGCTGCTCTCTGTATGGTCCCAGCATCTCAAATAGTTCCCTAAAGATCTGCTTAGTCCTCAGCCTTGATGTATTTTTCTGCTTTGTGTCCTCATAATTCTTTGTTCCTGCTTATTCTGGATGTGTTACCTTTTCATTTTGAGCTGTTCCCTGTCTTAAACTACACAAATGGTATAATTACAGTAAATAGAAAAAAAAAATCATGTGTCAAACCCATCACCTCATTTATTTTTCCATGTGTACTCCTTCTTCCCACATGGATGTATCATTTTCACGTAGTCTTAAATATAGTGGGTGGAGGGTCCACCCAAGGAAGGAGCAGCCTCCTGTTTCTTGTCATTTGTATTTTCTGTACCACATTCTGATACCCAGCAGCACCTTTGCAGTGTTCACCAAAGCCACAGGAATAGGATTTGTAGATCGGCAGTTCATCATGGAGGACAGATTGACTGGAAAAACTGTGTGGTACAAAAGTCTATGAGCTGATGGGCTGCAACCCAAGGTCTGGATTATCTCAGAATGCAGAGTGGAGGAGAAAGTTGTTTTGAGTAATCTGCAAGTAGCAGCCCAAGGTGCCGAAAGGTACAGTGAGGATGAAGGGAAAGTAGTAATCTCACATGTCAAGAAAATTGCTTGAGAACTTACTTTAAGATTTATATCAGTAATAAAAAATATCTGGTTTTAAATAGTTTCCATAAATACAACAGATTTTCTTTTCCTTTTAAAAAGTTGTGTGATCGCAGAAGAATTTTATCCACTTACGGTAAATGGATAGCCTTTTATTTGAGTCTGAAGGTAGCCACCTTTTCCTTTTTTGGATTGCCTCTACTATAAAACTTTAAAACTACAAAATGATACAAATGTGTGTGAGGAAGAGGAAACATGAAAATTAAATTAGATGAGTTTGATTTTTTTCTGTTTAACCTTTTTATACCATTTGCATGACTTTCAAAAGGAACAACCAAAATTAGTGGATTTGCCATTTCTTTTTAAAGAGTTCTTTGGACTCTTAAGCTCCTATTGGGACAGCCCCTGTTCATCAGCCTAGATTTACTTTCATTTCCAGTAATGTCTCCTTACTGCTTAGAAAAGCACATCTTGATTAGAGAACAGATTGAGAGCAAAACCAGTCATTTTAGATACTCAAGTCTGGGTACATGAGTTGGTTTTTGTTATATAAAAGAGGAGTTGCAGGAACAGGCTGCTCTTTCAGTATCTGAGCATCGGTGTGGCAGGAGATAGTCACACCCCAGGGCACAGCCAGGAGATCTGTGTTTTCTTGACATGCGGGTGCCACTACCACCACCCATCATGGTGGTGTAAGTGATAGGAAAATGGAGGACAAGGGAGTGTATCTCGTGTCACTGGGCTTAGGGACAGCCACAGGCAGCCTGGAGGACATGTGGCACCTGTGCCAAGTTGCTATGGCAGTCAGACAAAGCTGTTCAAGTAAAGGACATTACAGTAATTAGTCTAAATCTAGATATTCTCAATTTCTCTCATTGAACTGGAGGTTGTGGTTGCACTATATATTCCATAGTATCCGTCCTTTTTGTTTAGTTGATACATATCCCGTGTGGTTTCTGTGGAGATTTATGGTGGTTCCATGCACAGCATCCACAGGTGTGACAACAAGAAGTAGTCCAATGTGGTCTTCCTGGGATTCTTAGGCTGGTTCCTTGGTCCTGAGCCTGTACTTTCACATTGGATAGGATGAGAAGTGTGTGGGGGCTGAAATGAATTCTAATAATGAGCCTAGGGGGAAATTCTAGCCCAAGTTTCTCTTCTGACAAAAACAAGCAAGCACAAATAGAGCACGCAGCATAGGTGCCAACCAGAGCCTGGAGGAGCTGTGCTGGGGCCCTTCAGAGAGAGGAAATGAGCCCAAGGCACCTCAGAGCACCCAGTTACCTTCTGCTTCTTGTTTAAATACATGTGATACTCTTAGTCGTAAACAACTTTTTTGGCTTTCTTTTCTGCTTCTGTCTTGTCCAGGAAATTATAAATATTTGACGTTACTCAAAATGTGCAAAGAAGAATAATGGAAGCCCCTGAATACCTTGATTTGGATGAAATCGACTTCAGTGATGATATATCTGTAAGTATTACTACTTGTAAGCAGTATTTTCAGGATATTCTGCTTTCGACTTCATGGGCTACTTTATTATAGTCTTTACAGCTTCAATTCTTACAGTTATATTGAGGAACTGAACGTAGAAATCCTGCGTGGCTCACAACAGGTGTGCTGGCTGGGGGTGGGGCTCAGAACTAAAAAGTGAGTCCTACCTAACTGTGTGAGATTGGGAGGATGAGGCATCGACCTCAGTGAGCCTCCAGTCAACAGCCTGTTACAGTGCAGTCAAGATTATTGGTGAATACACCTAGCAACTGTCTGTATATGCACGTGATTAATCCTATGAGTGTTACTTCCCAGTTTCCTTATATGGCTGATTATTTCACAGCCATAGTCAAGATTTATTAATTGATGGAAATGAGAGCTCAGAACACAGAGTGGACCCTTGTTGGGAATACTGAGGAGAGGTGATATACTGGTGCAGCTGGCCTCATGGTTTCCTGTGATGCCGTGGGCTGCTGAGTTTCTTAAATTCCCCTAACAAATACAAACTGAGTTCGTTTGGGTTGTTCTGAGTGAACTGTTTGTAGGACCTCACTTTATCATGGACCACACAGTCAGTGCCACCTTACCTGTAAACAAGCTGTCATCTAGTGCCACAGAAACTTTGGGCTCTGTGTGGTGGGAAAGTTGCTGATTTTGAGAGGCCATGTAGCTTTTCTTCCCAGGAGCTCACAACTTCTGGCTTATTCTTCTGTTGGTCTGTCCTGGCCTAGAACTGTGGATCACCACTAGAAACAGTCCTGAAATATGACTTTTCTTTACTATGCCTCTGGCAACAGTTTTGTTCCTCTGCTTTACTCTTTAACTTGAAGTAAAATGTACATACTATATACAAGAATTAGACTACCAAGATCATTTCCATGAATCACACTTTTTATACACTCTTGGATAACTCTCCTTTTGTACAGAAGTATGAATCCAACCTTTCCATATTTCCAGACATTTTCTTCAGTTTTTAAAAGTAAATTTTACTTTGTACACTTGATACTGTAGGATATGTTTGCATAGTAAAATGATTAGCTTAATGAAGCAAATTAACATACCTATTGTCTCACATAGTTATCCTTTTAAAAAGAAATTCAGTCAAGATTATTCAATGTGAATCTCAACTGCTGGACAATTTTATTAACTATGACCTGGTGTTGTACATTAGCTCTCTAGAATTGTTCATTTTATGTATGTTACGTTGTATCATCTGACATATATCTCCTTTTTATTTTTTAATGTTTATATTTTATTCATGAATGGCAAGTGAACTTCCTCCTTACCATAATATTTTTCTGTCTCAACTACTGTGCTTGACTTAATAGTGTTCATAGTGTTGTTCATTTGCAAGGCATTTTGATTGGGGAAGGGGGAGACAAAGAGAGTACAGGATGGTGGGTGGGGGACAGAAGGTATAATAGAAAAGGAGACTTGTGTTATGATTAGGAGGTACACGGCTGCTGTCCCTGGTTTGATAATAAGGTTGTCTTTTGAAAGCTCCAGCTTCGAAGGCAGCCAGGTTTCTACCTTCTTTTGGCCTTTGTTGGCTGATAATAGGGTGGGATACATTAACTGCATCTTTTTGTAAGACTGTCTTGAGGACTGTGTGAAGTAATAATATATACGAAACACTTAGCACAGCACATGGTGAGTTATTCTTTAAAATGGTAGCTTTTGTTGTTATTTCAGTAAATAATACAATAATATTTATATGGCCAATGGTGAAAAACGAACTCAAGGGAAAAGACTAGGCGTGATGTCAAGATTTTTTTTTAGTACAGTAGAGCAGTTCTATTTACAGAAGAATCATCTGGCAGTAGCCCATAATTTTGATGAATTAGGAAGCTCTACTTGAAAGATAAAATATGTTAAGCAAGAACTGAAGCTGTTTAACAAGTTAGACGATAGGATTATGTAATAGTTGAGCTTCTATAACTTGACCACTCTGAAACATAAACCTGTCCGTCTGTAATAGTGTACTATACCCAAACTTCCCCCCTTTAAATAGGTTCCGTTCTTTTAAAACTGCATTTAAATTTAAATCTGATTTGAAAGCATGTGGAATTGCTGACACAATAATAATGGCTGGTATTTACTGAGCACTTACTGCTGCACAGGCGGTATCTTGTCTAGTCCTCACAACAATCCTGTGTAGACGGTACCTTCTCCCGTATCCCACCCCAAGCACATTTGGGAGTATTTGGAGACCTTTTCATTGTCATACCGAGAGGAGCTACTGGCAGTCAATGGGTACTGTTGTTCGTGCCCTTTGCATGATGCCTGTTATCAGGAATACGTGCAGTAAGTTGCCAGTCTCCTATCCAGGTTTTGTCAGTGCACATCAGGAAAGAAAGAGCAAGAGACAGAAATGGTGGATGCGCAGCAGGGATCTGGGACGACCAGTTGTTCTCCGGAAACAAAGGGCCACAGGGAAGCCAGACTTTTAGTATTTATTCATTACATCTGAGTCAGGGGTAATGGGTGAAGGGCTGTGTGTATTTCCTGGAACAGTTCAGAGGGCTAGGAATATCAAAACATTTCCTTGCAAGGACAAGGACAAGGATGAGACGTGGGTGCACTGATGCAAGTGCAGTTTGCGCATGCCTCATCCTCTTCGGCAGGTCTCATCTTGCCTTGTCAGGCTATAGCACTCACTTGCTCTTGGGATTCCGGTTCTTAACAGAAAAGGGTGGGGTGGTTCCATGTTGCAGTCTGACCCAAAAGGCAGGATGAGGACAAGCTTGGATGGCCCCGAGACTCAATTTAAAATTTGTGATACCCAACAGCCAGGAATGCTTCCACACATCCAGCAACACACAGGACACTCTCCTACAACACATAATCATCTGACCTAAAACTCAGTAATACAAGGCTGACAGCCCTGGTCTATTCTAACCTTGAAACTGAGGGAGCCATACTTCAAATTGAGACTCTAGACATAATAAATTTTATCAACGTTCAGTGTTACCCAAGTTGAATACTTCAAATATTTGTTGTGCCTAGTTTACTTAAGTACGTTGAGAGCAATCATTTCAGTGTTGCAGAGGTATACCCACTTTTTTCATCCTGGAACTCAGATTACAGCAATGAAAATTCTCTCTCAACTTATCTAAGTACACTAGGCTAAATGGAGATTATTCAAATGCTAAAATGAAAAACGAACATGTTTTCATTGGGCTAACTCACTGACATAGAAATTTAGTTTGCTTCCAGTGAACATGCTTTTATTTTTCAGATTCTGTAAACCATTCTGTCTGACAGCCCTTCTGACTCTTTCCTGGTTAAGTGGTGGAGAGGGGAGGAAAGTGCACTTTACATTTGGAAAAGATGTTTACAAAATCATGCCAGAGTCCAAGACTCTTCTTACCCTCCAGCTGTAGCCGTTATGTAGGATAGGCTTTGTATTTCATGAATTTTCCCTCTAGTCCTGAGCCTGGGTCTTGTTTTAATTAAAACACAAACTATATATTGGTATAAAAAAGTAGAACTTTTCTGCCTTTACCCAATGAGACAAAACACAGAAGGCAACCAAATTATTTTGATGTTTTCCAGACTCGAAAATAATGTGCATCCTTTGCAAAATGCAGAATATAAATGTCTCATAACCCTTTCGTCTAAAAAAGGCAAAACATTGTGCATCAACTACAGGTCCATAAGTGAGATGACAACACACGTTAACACAGAGGTTCAAAACAGGGCTTTTCTGTTGCCTCAGATGGGTTTCCAGATTTTTTCTTTATTCCTATGGGAACCAGATCCCTGTATTGTTTTTCCCTCCTCTATTGTTAAAACAAAAACCTCTGGCATTCCTAAGCGCCACAGTATGTTTGTTTACTAAGAAGTCTAATTTGCTGTTCTCAAAAACAGCATCCCTCGTAAGACTGAGCGAAGCACAGGCAGCCACAGTGCAGTTGGAGCACCTCATTGGGGGGCACAGCTGGCCATGCCACACACCGAACTCAGTTCTTTTAAGTCAGATTTTCTGGATCAAGCCTCACTTCCACCTGTAGGCGACAGACTCTCTCTTTGTTCTATTTCTCAGATGAGAAAATTAAGGCTTGGAAGGGGTGTGTGACTTACACAAAATTATTAATAGGTAAGTGATAGGATCAGAACTTAAATACTGAACAGTTTGACCACATTGCTTTTCCCTCTGCGCACCCTAGTTAAGTAGAGGCACCTCTGGGCCAGTCATTGCACCCTTATGCTCCCCACTTGGCATGGGAGTGATTACAGATTAGTCTTGGCAATCAAAGAGTCAGTATACATTATACATAAGTAAAATAAAGGCAGCTAAAGGGAATTCAAGCAAATCTCTTAAGTTTACTATATCTCAAATTTCTTTTCTGCAAGTTGATAATCATCTTTACTTACTGTTTTAGACTTTTAATGAAAATGTGAAAATTTATGTTTATGTGTTATGTAAACATGCCCATGTATGTGAATACACACATATGCATACAGATAATACATAGTACACATACCAAGCATGTAAATATCTTCACACAAATAGAAATGGGTGAAGTACTCTTCCCTGTGAATGGGAGTCATGTTGCCTTTCTGAATTAGTCTGACTTACAACTTTGGTGAAAATTGACAATTTTTGGCAATCACATAACTTACATTTGTGCAGACCAAATGGTGATCAAGATAAATAAATGTCCTTCATTTTACTATCCCCGTTAGTCCAAATCTTTGCAACCTAGAATAATAGCATAAAATTATGTGGGTTCATTTTCCTGAGGTGCTTGAGCTACCACACTATCCTGTAGAGAAATAAATTCTTATGGCAACCAACCTCACTTCTAATGAGTTTTCAGGTCCTCACATAAGAAAAAAAGATCCCTTGCAGAACAGACTTTATTTTCACACAAACACCTACCCTTCCTTGTGTTTTGTGTAGACTGCTTTTTACTGAATTGTCTACGAATACATCCCTATGTCTCGCTACACTTCATCAAAGACTGCTTTCACAG